TTTCATGGAAAAGCCCTCCTTTAGCCATGCTCATGACATCACATGCACTATAAATTGAACCTCTGACATTAAAATCAGCCTCTGAAGCGTTATCCAGGTACAGCCAGGTTCAAATGTGGTGACACTTCCCAGTTCATCTCATCCACTCCAGGTTGCTTGGTTGGTTGGTTGGTTTCCTGTAGGAAGTAGCAGCACACAAACTTTCAGAGCAGCACCTCAGTAATGAGATGGGCTGGCCTTAGGGCCAAGTTTCATTTGATGTGGCACACCCATATCTTTAAGTGTGGCTCTACCAATCACATGCAGTGACTCAAAGTGTATAGGACATGTTTGGGTAGATGCCTGATCTCTTATCCTGTCACCTCTCCTTTAACAAACACGCTCCTTTCCCTCTGTAGTTCTTTTCCTATAACAACCTTCACCAACCTGGTGCCTTCTAGCTGTATTGAAGTCCCCTTATCTTCCAGTTACAAGGTCCCCATACCTGATGCCTCTAGCCAGAAAGTTGGCCCTGCACAGGTTGTCCTCTACATCTGGTAGGTGACAAGTTGGGAAAGGCTAACGTAGTGTAATACAGCTGGAGAGTACCAGGTTGAGGAAGGATCCAGGGCTTATGTTCTTTTCTTCAGAATACAATACAGTTCTGGAAAGGAGAACTATAGGGAGTTTTGGCTTCGATGGAGAAGGGAGACAATCCAGCTTCTCCTTCCTATATATCCTGTTTATGCTGTGATGGCATCCCACCTCTATGTTCTACACAGGGGGCAGTCAACCTACCTTTTCAGCCCCAAATCTTGCTGCATATCATTTAGCCCTTTGGGGGAATTTGCACTTGAATTTTAGCATGGATGACCTAGCACAGGGGTAAATTCCTTATATGACTTTCAGGAACTGACTATTAAAACTGGAAACAGAATTAATGACACTTAGTAATCTGAGATAATTATTTTATCTCACAAGATTTTAAGGACAGTCTTATTTAAGATAATGATGCTTTTCAGACTGCATACAGGTGCTATCGTTGATGTGAGGAAGGGAATAATGAAGAGTCTGAAGAGTAATTTTTTGTTTTAAAAATCACAAAGTCTCATTGAATTCTTTAAAACAGCAGTTGCTAAACATTCCTGAAATGGTCTTCTCTTTGCTAAATTGTTTCTAATCACCCAGCTCCATCCTGTCTGGCCACCTCGCAGTGGCATCCAGCTTCTTTTAATAGATTGGGAAGGGCATGCTGTTCAAGCAACAGCTGTGAGATGAGGCAGCAGCTGCTTTTTCTTACACATTCAGAAAGGTCACAGAAAAAGCTAATGTTGTACACTCAAGTGAAAAACACCCTTTCATAGCGCTGTGTTTGTCTGCCTTGATGTGACATGAATGCAAACTCAGACTCCCGATGCTACAGCGCTTGCTGCAAATGTGCAAGTCAACTGGAAATCTGGTTGATCCAACTCCACTCATTGGCACAGACTGAACTTTTAAGGGTCACCTGTTATTTAAACTATTACTTGGACTCAGCCAAGAATCATATATAAACTGTGTTACTGAATGAAACTGCTTTGGTTAAGAAACAACACTTAGCATACTGCATACCTTTCCCTTGTAACACTGAGTACAAGAGGTGATCAACAGCCCTAATTGATTGTCAGAAACCTGGCTCAGCTGGTCAGCAATGAGGAAAAGGGAATTTGTTTGGCTGCCGTCTGGAGGCTAAAATACAGCTATAGAGTATTTCTTTGCAAAGCAACCAACAAGAGTTTAAAGCATGAAGTCAAATCAATATCATAGAATAGACTACAATAAAATTAAAACAAAAGGATTAATTAGACTTTCACATCCATAATAATGTTGGCTCCAATATTAACTTTTCCCTAAATGCATGCCAGAACAATATGGCCTTAATTCATGCCTAAAAACCAAAGCTTCTCCAGAATGTTCCATGGAGAGAGACCTGTGACAGTGCGCAGATTATGCTGACCAAGCTAACATCAAGCAATGCTTTCACCTGGAAAATAGCTATGCCTGATACCTAAGCAGGCAGAATGCCCTGGACCAACCTATAGGTGGCCAACCTATGGCACACGTGCCACAGTGGACATGTGAGCCAAGTTGCCCCAGCATCACCCCAGCAGCCGAGCATTGGATAACAGGGCACATAGGGGCCATGTGCCTGCTCGGAAAGGAGTAGCGGTGCCAGGAGATGACGTCACAAGCTGCAACACATTAGCTGCGACTCGCCCGAGCTTTCACATGGCTGGTCAGTGCGCTGCCAGGGATATATATATTTGCTTGGACTGGCTGTTTTCAGGTTTTATTGCAGTGTTGGCACTTTGCGATAAATAAGTGAGTTTTGGGTTGCAATTTGGGCACTCGGTCACTAAAAGGTTCACCATCACTGGGTTAGGGTTAGAATAACGAGGTGTCCTGCCATGATTTTGATGGTTGGAATGTGTTTAGAATGGGCAGAAATGTTGAGCTGTGCAGAAAAAGCTATTCAAGGAAGGCTTTTGCAAAATCGCCCTCTTTTCAATGGTATCTTACCCATATATTAGAGTTAGGGTGTTGCACGAGGGTAGGGTTGGGGTTAGAAAAACAAGATGTCCTGCTAGCATTTTGATGGTTGGGATGTGTTTAGAATGGGCAGAAATGATGAGCTCTGCAGAAAAAGTTGCTCAAGGAAGGCTTTTTCAAGATCACATTATTTTCAATGGAACTTTCGCCCTCTATTAGGGTTAGGGGTGTGCACCAAGGTAGGGTTAGGGTTACAAAAATGAGGTGTCCTGGCATAATTTTGATGCTTGGAATATGTTTAGAATGGGCAGAAATGATGAGCAGTGCAGAAAAAGCTATTCAAAGGAAGGCTTTTTCAAAATTGCCCTCTTTTCAATTGAATTTTACCCCTATATTAGGGATAGGGGTGTCCACCAGGGTAGGGTTAGGGTTAGGAAGACGAGGTGTCCTGGCATGATTTTGATGGTTGGAATGTGTTTAGAATGGGCAGAAATGATGAGCTGTGCAGAAAAAGCTACTCAAGGAAGGCTTTTTCAAAATCGCCCCTTTTCAGTGGTACTTTAGCCCTATATTAGGGTTAGGGGTGTGCAGCAGGGTAGGGTTAGGGTTACAAAACTGAGGTGTCCTGGCATGATTTTGATGGTTGGAATGTGTTTAGAATGGGCAGAAATGATGAGCTGTGCAGAAAAAGCTCCTCAAGGAAGGCTTTTTAAAAATTGCCCTCTTTTCTATGGTATTTCACCCCTATATTAGGGTTAGGGGAGTGCGCCAGGATAGGGTTAGGCTAGTGCTGGTGAACCTAGAGCTCATGTGCCACAACGGGCATGCAGAACCCTCTTTGTCTGCATGTGAGCCAAGTCACCCCAGCATTGCCCCAGCAGCTGAACATCAGATAACAGCACACATAGGGGCCTCGAGTCACGTGCTGCAACTCATTAGCTGCGACTTATCTGAGCTTTCACATGGCCAGTCAGTTCACTGCCAAGGACATATATATATTTGCTTGGACTGGCTGTGAGTTGTTTTTTCTAAACTAAAACCTCAGTTTTCAGGTTTTATTGCAGCATTGGCACTTTGTGATAAATAAGTGGGTTTTGGGTTGCAGTTTGGGCACTCGGTCTCTTAAAGGTTTGCCATCCCTGCCCTAGACCAATAAGTTCTAAGGCTGAGTGCCATAAAGAAGCCAGAATTAAACTGTTGTTCTGATACAACTTCTGTTTGCTGATGATAATGCTAACAATACTCCTGCAACCATCAGCAATGATCTATTCTGCTTTAGTCTGTCCACCCAAAACAATATCTTTTCATCTCAATAGCCACACATCCCTTCCTGATATTAATGTCACACACACACAATCACTATTGCGCTTACTCTACAGTACCCTTTTAAGCTGCATCTGTCAAAACCGTAAGATGTTTTGTACCAGGATGACACAACTCTGGTACAAAATTGGTGATGACTCAAGGGGACAGTCATCAAGTTTAAATCCTTTTGTACTTGGTGCTTTTGGTCTGCACCACATTAATCCCAGTGAAGTTATGCATAGTTAAGGTTCCCTGCAATTTTTTCTTGCTATGCTAATTGATCTGCATCGGCCACTGATGGGGGGCAGATCACAGCAACACTCTCTGGATCTTTTTAAGCGGGACAGTTGAATCCCTAGCCTGCTGTTTCATGGATGGTGCCATTTCAAAGCAACATTGGTAGCTCTTGTTTGGCAAAATGTCTGATGGGTTTGAGGAAAGAAGGAGAAAGAAAGGCTGACAAATTTCTTAAGGGAAAATCCCATGGACAAGCAAAGCAGAGAGTGGTTGCCAAGCCCCTGTGGGGCTGGTGGGCTGCATGTAAGCAAATCAGCCACAGCAAGTACTGGCTTGCTGCAAAGAGGCAATGGATTTAAATTCAAAGTTCCGACCAACTCGCACTCCATGATATACATCCACTGTGTATCTGCTCTGCTCCAGGCAACGCTGGCGATGGCTAGAAAACATCGTTTGCAGGCCGAAGCAAGAACTGGCCTTGACAGTCGGTCTGACTACAGCCTAATCGAATATGTTTTCTGTTTCTTCCGAGAAAGACCCAAGAGTGCCTCAAGCAAATAATAATGTTGAGACCAAACATTCAGGTTGCTTTAATGAATTTCCCTTGGCAATGTTGTGAATGTGATTGTGATGGACCATGGAGCAGCCAGATCTAGCCTCTTATACCTGGTCTTGCTAAAAATAGAAATGACATTTTTGTGAAGGGCCTCCGGATCTTTCACTAAGTGAGCTGCTAGCCAGGCATTCCAAGGAAAATACACAAGAACAAGCCAACAGCAAGGACAACCTAATGCTTAACTGAAGTACCTGAAGAATGAGATAAACAGATCATCAGCTGCTACCACTTAATTTCTAAACCCACCAAGGCAACCTATGACCAGCTAATTGCTATGATTTCCCATTATGAGGGAATAGGTGAGATTCTCATCTTGTCTTTTTCTCTCCTACAGCTGGGATGACAGCAGTTCAGTTAGCAGTGGCCTCAGTGATACTTTGGATAACATCAGCACGGATGACCTGAACACCACATCATCCGTCAGCTCTTATTCCAATATAACTGCCTCTTCTAGAAAGAATGCATATGTCCATGTAGGTGCTATGCTTTTTCTCTTTTTCTAGCTGTGTATTGAGGCAAATGATTGGGGGTGGGGGGATTTCATTGCTTAACTTTCCTTAGCAAAACTGTACCCATGTCATTTTCTCCCCATTTGTATTTATTTATTCCCCAGTTTTGTTTGTCAGTCTTCATTTGCAATAACTGTAATCGCTGTAAGCTTCTCCTAATGCAAGTTATAGATATCATTATGCAAATCTTGTGATACAGAGATGGCATAAAATCATAATGAAACAATTGATTGAATCAACACAAACTGGTGCCACCTTCTGTGTTTATATCTTCATATACCAAAGAGGCAAACCTGTTTCCCAATCAAGGGCCTGTCGGGAGTCATCAACGGTGCTGGAGTTTAATGACACCATCCCATTTTCTATTGATCACAGCACGGAATTTGCAAGAATCCAAGGCTTAGTTCAGTATTTCATTTGGCAGTGGGTGGGTATTAAAGGCGCTGTGTTATGCTATTAGAGCATACAGCATTCCTCTTGTTAACTGCAACCAGTATTGTAAGGAGAGTAAATTGTAAAGACCACTTAGCTTCCATAAGTAATTGCTCCCTAAATTGGCCCATTTCGGTCATGCCAGTTACTGTGACCTAGACAGTTTTGATAAACATGTTGCAAATCTTGAATCTGCATGGTTGCTAGCCTGACAACTTGAACATATAACTCCAAGAAACTAAAAGGAAAAAGGAAGGCGCACTGAAGCTACCAAATTAAATGTTCATCTTTAAAAGCCAACAGAAGACGATCAACTTATGCTGAATATGTTAATGTAAATTATTCCTTGCACTATGAGGCAATCAGTATAAGCTATAGTTCAGGTAAGTGCTACCTTATATAAATGATAGCAATCATTTGCCAGTATTAGCAGCTGCTTATAGTTAGTGACTGCAGTGCAGAAGGCACATTCTGAGTATGATCAGCTCTGCCAGAAGCCCACCGCATGCATCCCAAGGTTTACCATAGCCTAAGTAGAGACATGGCTTCCTTTCTCCCACCGGATGTGAGCACAGGGACATGTGCAGTCAACAGGAGGCTATAGGAGATGGTAAATATATGTGCATCTTCATATTCTGACTTCACCTTGATACATGATTAAATCATGTGAGCAGACTTGGAGGCCTTCCTGCTAACAGTCTGTCATGCTGCCTGCACATGCACCTGTATGCACCTATAGATGGGGGAAAGGTGGGCACTATGCATGTTTGCATTGAGCCTGAATGGAGTGGATTGTTCTTCTGCACTGTGGATACCGACTCTTGGCTCAGCAAGCTTGAGGTTCCAGAAAGTCCAGAACTCTCAGAAGTGGACTTTCCTTCAACAACTAAGTGCATGCTGGAGCCCTCCCTGGCTCATGCTGGCCTCCATGCTTGTGTCTGACAGTACTTAGAGGTTTCCTCTGAGATGAAATGCTGAAATACTACACCAACTCCCAAGTAGTCATCGGTGGGCTTACGCTTGTTATTAGGATTCAAAATTCCATCCTAACTGGTTATTAATTCATTGTAACCTGCACTGGAGAATAAAGATAGCAACTTGGATAATAATCTTGGAATGTGATTTGGTATTCAGTGCTTTTGAGTTTTCTGCCATGTATGGGGGCCCTCATTTGGGAGCTTCTTAGGCAATGCTACTATGGAAATCCAAAAGGGTTGGGATCTGTAGGCTTCAATGAAACATTGCCTCTTTGGGGACTGTTGTTTTTAATTGCATTAACATTTGTCAATACATGTTGCTTCAAGTAAATACAGTTGAGATCTTTCCATGTGGATGCACCATCAGTAATCCTGTTTCTCTCGGAGAAACTGTTAGCATTTGGAACGAGACACTGTGCTCTCACACCACGATGAATGCACCAAAATCTTGTATAATGCTCATGATTTCAATTTCTCGCAGCTGAAGACTGATTCAGAGAAACGTTCAGTAACGGAGGGAGAGCCGTGGGGCAGCAGTGAAGAACTGAAGAAGCCAGAGGATGATTTGGAAGGTAACATTGACAGCAGTGGAAAATGGAAGGGCCATTCCTCTGGACTGCTGGAAGATGCTGACAAGAGTGGACAGAAAGCCTCCCTCCCTGTCTCTCAGACTGGCTCTTGGAGAAGGGGCATGACTGCGCAAGTGGGGGCAGCACCGTCGAGGAACAAAGCTGGAGCAAGTACTCTCAAGGCACCTGGTAGGAAAGGCATTCAGCAATGTTACTGTACAGCCATTTCTGCAAATTGCCCTAAGCCGTTGTGCTTTTTCTTAGAGCCTGTGAGTGGGTTGGGAGCAGTACCCGTATAGCAAGTTTGCTTTTAAGTGGAGAGAGCCTTCTGTAATATTCTAGGGAGTTAGAGCTATTGTGCAGGTAATGGTCATACCTGAGATTCATCTATTCTGTAATATTTTTTTAAAGCTGCATTCAGTCTCTTATAAGTAAAGTTAAACCTTTGTGAACAATTATTTTATAGCAGCATTGTGTACATGCATGTGTGGCATTCATACTGGTGAACCAAATGAAATTGAATAGGCATAATTTATTTCTTTCAATGGCACATTTGAAACAACCCTAAAATTATTCCAGTGCTATACTGCTGAGATGTTTTCCACAGCATTTGTTAGTATCCACAAGGTAAACTGAAATAGCCGGGTAAATGCAAGGCACTATTATCAAGACACCTTTTCCACTGCAAATGTTTAATGCAGGTTGGATTTTTTGAAAAAGAATTTGCAACAATGGATTCCCATCTGTGTTGTGCTGAATATAATATACTGCAATATTCTTGTTTCTAAAAGGAACAGTCTTGAGTTATAAGTATTTCCTTTTACAATCAATAGGAAACAAATAAAGGGTTCCATCTTATTAAAGCTGCATTACAACATTAAAGAAAGCAGTGAAGGACATGCTCAGAATTCATGTCAGATGCTCCATTCATATAAATTCAGAGCTATGTTCTGTCCCATCTAAAAAAAGCTTGAAAACTAATATTTAAATACGTATTTTGTACATTTGCTTTCCTTAAGGTACAATTCAGTGTACATTTAGACTGAGAAGCAGCATTTTTCTGTCTATCTTTGCATAGGATTGCATCCAGCATATATTTTATTTGAAAGTACATATCATCTGTATAATCTAAAATGCACATTTTAATACACATTTTGGTGCATTTTTTGAGCTGAGGATACAACGCTAAGAAACGTGGGAAATCCTTTGAATAGGATGTATTCCAATATATCTGTGAGCCTTGGAGGTGTGAATCAGTTCAAGTAGTTCTAAATCAGGTGTGGACAGAAAAAAAATTCTTGAGCATCCTGAATAAAGATTTAATGAGGTGGACAATAGTACTAAGTGCAAATGAAGTGCTGCCAAGGACAACTGCTAATGATTTAAGAGTAAAGAGAGCCTTATTAGCTTTCTGGCAGTTCTTTTCTTCTGAGGTGCACTCAGTTCCACCTAAAGTGGAATCCAGGAAGGAAATGCATTCCACAGATTCTGGCTTATGCTTGATGTGCTTTAATCATTTTAACACTGCCTTAATTCAGTGCAATTGCAGTATGAATGAAGCATGCAAACATGTCATGTGATTCATGGGAAACATGGCAAAGCACATAGTGAAATCCAGGGAATCAACTGGATTTTCCAAGCAAATGGTGGCCACCAGAAATGGAAGTATATCTCATGTTGAAATTTTGAATGGGGGTGTTTTACAAGAAATTGCAGTAGTGTCAAATGGTCCATTACTCTCTTATGAAAATAGGTTTTTGATTTTTAGAATGTTTATCTACATACATAAGTACCTGAAAATCTGTTGGTGGAAGCATGGATTGTTACCCAAGAATTCCCACCTGTACTTTTTGTTAGGAAAAACAGATGATGCAAAGGCTTCAGAAAAAGGGAAGACTCCCCTCAAAGGAGCTTCTATCCAGCGTTCTCCTTCAGATGCAGGGAAGAGCAGCGGAGATGAAGGGAAAAAGCCACCCTCGGGCATTGGCAGATCAACAGCAACAGGTTCCTTTGGGTTCAAGAAAGCTGGGGTTGGCTCCTCAACAATCATCACTCCAAGCGGTGCAACTATAACAAGTGGCTCAGCAACCTTGGGCAAGATGCCCAAGTCTGTCGCTATTGGTGGAAAGTCAAACGCAGGGAGGAAAACCAGCCTAGACGGTTCGCAGAATCAAGACGATGGCATATTGCACGTGAGCTCGAAGACCACCCTGCAGTACCGGAGTCTGCCACGTCCTTCCAAGTCAAGCACCAGTGGGATTCCAGGCAGAGGTGGACACAGGTCCAGCACCAGCAGCATTGACTCCAATGTCAGCAGCAAATCTGCAGGAGCAGCGGCCACCAACAAGCTGAGGGAGCCTACAAAGATTGGCTCGGGGCGCTCCAGCCCTGTTACCATTAACCAGACAGACAAAGAAAAGGAGAAGGTGGCTGTGTCTGATTCTGAAAGCGTTTCATTGTCCAGCTCTCCAAAGTCAAGCCCAACCTCAGCTAGCGCCTGTGGAACGCCAGGCCTCAGGCAACCAGGTTCAAAGTACCCTGACATTGCCTCACCCACATTTAGAAGGTAAGGTGTTCTTTGTCAAATGCTGCGTTACATTCACTCCACTTCCCACAGTGTTGAGGGGTCAAACCCAGCGTTCGCCTTTGGTTTCCTTCGACACGAGAACACTAGAGGCTTCTGGCAGTTGGCCACTGTTAAGTTGCTTTATGAAGGAACAAGTTGGGTGTAAGCACAGCTTCAAGACTTGAATGGCAACATCCACTGCCTCATGTCAGATCTCCAGAAAGAGGTAGCCAGCGCTCCTAAAGTTTTCTACAACTTACAGGACTCTGGATTTAGGGCTTTGCCTCTTTGTGTTGCTTTCCAGAAGAATGCCAGTCACATGTTGCCTTAGGTGGGAAGCTTGAAGTCATCCAGATGTCATTGTAGTCCTCAGTCTCAACCTTGTGGTTCTCTGCTTGAATGAAACATCCATTTCATTCATACATGGTTCATCATATGTACAAGACAGTGGTTTGGATGTAGGCGTACACTTACACTCACTTGACGCATTGCAGAAAAATGCAACGTGTACCAGGAGACTCTCACATGTCCACCTGCACCTGTATCCTCCCCTGCAGCTTTGAGTGATAGGGAACATCTCCTGTGCTTGAAAGCAGATTCGGATTTTTCAAACTAGTCAGAAAATAGTCTTTCCATCCCTCCCCCTAAATAATTTTTGAGTTTATTTAGGGAGAAGGATGGAAAAACTACTTTCTATTAGAATCCCTCTAGCATCGTCCACTGCCTTCCCTTTCTCTTCTCTGTAGCAGTTTTTCTGCCTGTCATGTCCCCTTCCTTTCCACCTTCTGTCAGGGAACCATGACAACAGCAGCATCCCAGGCACAAGCAAGCAGTCAGTTTAGAAAAAGGAAGGTACCTATCATGTACCTATCAGTGTCAAAATACCTATCATGGAATCAGGAGTCTAGAGAATGTGATTGGCTAGGTTTTCTTGTCCCTGGAATATTGACATCCTGGTGTACAGAGTACATTGAAGGAGGGGGAGAAGAAACTTGATGGTCCTTCCCCAAAGCCCATTTGTTTGGAGGAAGATAGGAGAGTTAATATATGCCCAGATTCTAATTTGGTGGACTTATTTCATTGGGAGAGGATTTCCTATCTGGGAAGGTTTAGATTAGAAAGGTCCCCAGTTCTGAATTTGCTCCCATCTTTATGTATTTCTGTCTGTCTCAACCAAAATGTGCCTTTTTTCATATATCAGCATGGATTAAAAGGATTCACACACACACACAGACACACACACACCTTTTCAAGCCAAAAGCTTCTCACACAGCTTAAAAACAATGCATGTGTATTTAAAACTGAAACTGGTAAAATATTGACTGGCATCCATTTCCATTCAGAGCATCTAGAGCAGTGTGGCGAACCTATGGCATGCATGCCACAGCGGGCATGCAGAGCCCTCTCTGTCGGCATGCGAGCCAGATCGCCCCAGCATCGCCCCAGCAGCCGAGCATCAGATATCAGCACATGTAGGGGCATGCCCATGCTCGGAAAGGAGTAGCAGCGCCAGGCAATGACATCACAAGCCACAACTCATTAGCCGTGAATCATCCAGGTTTTCGCATGGCCGGTCAGTGTGCTGCCAAGGATGGACAGACAGACAGACAGACAGACAGATAGAAATATAGATAGATAGAGGCTTGGACAGGGATTTCAAAATCTCCCTCTTTTCTATGGTATTTTACCCCTATATTAGAGTTAGGGGAGTGCACCAGGGTAGGGTTAGGGCAACGGTGGTGAACCTATGGCACGCGTGCCACAGTGGGCAAGCAGAGCTCTCCCTGTCAGCATGTGAGCCAAGTCGCCCCAGCATCGCCCCAGCAGCTGAGCATCAGATAGCAGCGCACATAGGGGCATGCGCATACTCAGAAAGGAGTAGCAGCACCGGGCAATGATGTCATGAGCCATGGCTCATTAGCTGCGACTTGTCTGAGCGTTCACATGGGCAGTTAGTGAGCTGCCAAGGAGATAGATATATTTGCTTGGAGTGGCTGGGAGTTGTTGTTTTTTTTAAACTATAACCTCAGTTTTCAAGTTTTATTGCAGTTTTGGCACTTTGCAGAAAATAAATGGGTTTTGGGTTGCAATTTGGGCAGTCTCTAAAAGGTTCATCATCACTGATCTGGAGTATCCAAGTCTTTCTCTCCTATGATGCTAGAACCCAAGATCACAAACTGGAGGTGGATGCTTAAGATTGTAGACAGATGAAAGAAAGTATTCCTTAACACTGTGCTTAGTTAAACTATGGAATAGGCACCAGCTTAGCAGTTTTAAAAAGAATTCATGGAGAATACAACTGACTAGGCATGAAAGCTATATTTCCTCCTTCCGTATTGGTATGTCTCTGAGTGCCAGTGCTGAGAACATGAGCAGGAGCTGCTTGGTTATTGTGGGAACAGAACTTTAGGATAGGTTGGCTTTGGCAATGTTCAGCACATCTCTTCTTATATTCTTACATTATTAAGACCTGGTTAAAAGCAGAGAGGGAGTCAGGCACATCTTGTCAATGAGTGTTCACTGCTGTTGATCCACTTTCTCTTGGAAGAGCGAGAGCTTTCTCTGGATGCCAGCGATTATGTGGAACTATCATTCACTTATATGTGTCAGGATCTGCCGGGAGAAGTTGATTGCAAGGGAACTGCAAGGGAGAGAAAATTAATCCTAAGCAATGGAGTAGAAGATAGTATGATGCTCTATCTTAGAGAATTTAATACTTCATTTATTTGGATTTCTCAAACGGATGATTTAGTTCTTGCACTCAGAGGCCTTCAAGTAGGCAGCTGACAAAACAATCTGGCTCAGAAGTGAAAAAACAGCCCCCATGTCTCTGCAATTCTGTGGCATTTAAACTGATGTGATTTGCTTGTTAAGCTATCAAACCATTTGGAAATGTGCTGCTTATGTATGCACTCAGTTTCAGCCCACAGCACCATTCTGTGCATATAGCCCAGTGTAGAGATTGTGAGCACTGCCTCTCAGCTGTTCACAGGGGAGAAAAAAGCAGGGAAAGACTAAATTCAGTCACAACAGCTGATGGAAGCCATTTTGGGAGCCTAAGAGGGGCTACACCAGCATAACTGGGGATTGAGGGGTTTTATGCAGAGCAACTGTTTGCATTAGCAGTTCCCCATCCAGCCAGGAATGCACACCTGGAAGCCTCCTTCCACATGCTGTTGGCAGGCCCCTAGTCAAACCGGGAGAGTATGATTTTTCAAGATAGTGGGAAAGGCATATATGACAGAAGTTGGTATCTCTAAACTGAACTGAATCGCCTCCTAATGAAGGACTACTGAGGAATAGGAAAAACATTATATTGATTGGAAAAATTCTGGTATTATAGCAATATTTTTAGTGAAAGACGCAAACACCAAGGAAATAAGGATTAATGCAGCATTTTGGTTTCTTCTATTGGCATCATTTAGTCAGCAATATTTCCTCATCTTAGCAGCTTTGCAAGATGCATCATAACCAGGCTTAAATCCTTAGAAGCACATAAGGCAATTGTTTTATCTAAATCAAGTCAATGCTGCCCTCTTGTGGCCAATTTAGCCCCCAACGCAATATTTTAGCTTTAGTGTAGCTTATAATTTACTGAAACTACTTGTTACACTGATTTCATCCCCATGCAAACGCTTTGCATTTTGTGTGTTGTGCTGTGTTTTTGTATTGTGTCATGAATTCAGAACATCCTTTCCACAGGGATTCCATTACTAAGTCTTTAGAAACAGAAAGATTGAAACCTTGCAAAAACTTTTGTAAAGAAAAATATTTCCAAAATAATGAACATATTTTCCTGCTCCCATGTGTGTGTGTATTCACATCTACATATGTAAAGAAATTAATAAATTCTTCATATATTAGACTATTATATGAAAATCAAAATTCAATCATGCTGTGATGATATACAAAAACAGGCTTAATGTGAAATTCTATGCGTGTTTAAACAGAGAAAAGACATGACTTCTATTATGTATCCTTTTCTCCATCTAAGCATGCATAGGATCACACCCTTAATAAACTGTATCTTATGAACTAATTGCTAGATTAGTGTGAACGGTTCATCTTTTTTATGCACTTGCAGAATCTAGAATGGTTGTGCTTTTAATCTTTGCAGGATGGTCTGTACAAGACACAAATGCTGAATGAATGCTTCTGAACTGTGCAATGAGTACATCCGAATAATGCAGGGCTTCCCTAGATTGGATTGTTAATGTTGATTCTCTTTGTTTCTAGACTTTCAGGATATTGTCTGCAAAGTTCTGGCTTCTAACATCTGCATTTGTTTGTTTGCTTGCTTGTAGGTTGTTTGGTGCTAAAGCAAGTAGCAAAGCTGCCCCTGCACCAAATACAGAAGGTACGAAATCCACAGCTGCAATGCCAAGCCCTAGTACCACATTAGCCCGGCAAGGCAGTCTGGAATCTCCGTCTTCAGGTACAGGTAGCATGGGCAGTGCAGGTGGGCAGAGTGGCAGCAGTAGCCCCCTCTTCAGCAAACCCTCGGACTTAAATGCCGACGTTGTCAGCTTAAGTCACTCCTTGGCTTCTAGCCCAGCGTCAGCCCACTCGTTCACATCAGGTGGTCTCGTGTGGGCTGCCAACCTGAGTAGTTCCTCTGCTGGCAGTAAGGACACTCCGAGTTACCAGTCCATGACTAGCCTCCACACGAGCTCTGAGTCCATTGACCTTCCTCTCAGCCATCACGGCTCCCTCTCTGGATTGACCACAAGCACTCAAGAGGTTCAGAGCCTGCTCATGAGAACGGGAAGTGTGAGATCGACGCTTTCAGAAAGGTGAGTTGATGGCAGAGAGAGCTTTCTCTACCATGTTCATAAGTGAGGCAAAAGAAATGGATCCAGTCAAAAGAATGTCCCTTAAATAGCTTAAAGAAAGCATCTCTTTAAGGGAAATCAGCATTGCAAACAGGTAGAGGAGGACTGATAAAACATCTGAATGTGCATTTCGTCCATGGACTTCCTGTGCAGTTAATTCCACCAAGGTTTCTTGCCTCTTCAGAAACTTGCAAGCCTATTTGACGAGACACCAGGAAAGCACAAATGTGTGCATAGCATGCGCACCCATGCACAGTAACACAACTCCTTCAATACTTGGAAAACAAATGTCTGCGCACAGCTGAGTAAAGATTGATGCTGCTCGAAAGGGTTTATCTAGAAAGTCATTTGAAAATGAATTCACAAGATCATAAATTAATCGTATTCCTGTTTTTGAAAATCGTTTACATTTATACTAAAGAACCTCATCAAGACAGTTAAAAACATTTAGTGTGCAGTCCTATTAGCTTTGTAACTGTTGCTTTTAAGGCTCCGAACTTGGAGATTTGTGAGCATCCAATGCAAGGCACAAGGCATGGGGGTGACAATCTCAGCTATTGCTGCACCTCATGCCCTGCAGTTCATGTGGGAAACTATCTGGGGCCATCAGCTTTCCTCCTCTGAGACCTCTGAGTTGTAACAGGAGGAGTGGGGGGGGGGGGGGGAAGCTGGCTTAGTTCTTTCCACAGTGGCTGTGATGGAGCAGGGCGGGGTCTCATACTCAGACAAATTCTATGGCGCCATCCTATGCTGAAGACCATAGGATCACACCTTTAGGAAGCAGCATGCTAACACTAAATAGGCTAAATAACACCAAAAGCTTGAACTGCGTAGGAAAGACTATGACATGCATGCCTTCTCAAACCTGGAAAATGAAGACATTTTGAGTATATCTGAGTATAATCCAGCTGCCGTAACTCTGCGTAGAGGATATAATATGGCATTTAAAGCATGAATGTTTAGACAAAAAAACTGAGTGATCACTTGTGATCTTGTCTTTGCACTAAGGTTGGTCTGTATTGTTATTCACAAGTTCTGCAGATCCACGGGTGAGAGATTGTGGCTTATACGCTGCCACCTAGTGGCTGTCTTCAGGCATTGCTTTTCCTAAGCAATTGTGCTCATGCAGGCTGGTGGCTGTTTCTTTTCTGCATGTACATATATATGAGCATATTATGTTTCACCCTCACAAAGTCTGTGTTCACATGACATGACAGCCCCTCAAGCTGCACTCCATTTTGCAAATGGCAGTCACATGTGGGTTAAGTAACCCCAGTAGGCTGTCATGGATAGTAGCTTCTGTATCTGTTTTATATGTTACCCTCAAGACCTCTACATCTCTGTACTTTAAAAATGCATATTTGTCTTGATAATGTAAATTTGAAATAGCAATCAAGTTTACTTAACCTTAAAAGTCTTCAGATGCCAACATGGATTTGAGTTCCAGCTTTGATGGGAAATGTTTAGAGCAGTGTTTGCAGATAGATTTTTGTTATTTTTGCGTGCATAAATATGCATGGAACTACATGGGTGAAGCAGGCAGCATAAAGCATTAAAGTCTATGCAGGCAGCATAAAGGTTCTAAATAAAGACAGGTCCTCAGAAAACCCTAGCAAATATAGGCCAGTCCGCTAAATCAGTCCTGTCATAGCATCTTCCAAGTCAGACCACTCAGTCCTTCTGCTCCTGATTGGTGCCCTTTCCAGGTACAGAAAGGTAACAGTCAAAAGAGTCAGAACTTCTCCTGCTCATAGAAAATCACCTCTTTAATTTTTTTGCAGTCATTACATTGAGGGAAATTAAGCTGTACACACCTTCTTTTGCCTGGGTAGTGTCATTTACTATCTTAAAGCAGATAGCCCATATAAAACCAGCCTTTATACAAGCCAAAGTTATGGCCAGACTCTTTCCTCTCTAGTATTTACGCCAAAAGTATTACTGCTACTATATTGCACTGATATCCTGCATTTTTTAACTCTTGCAAATAACCCAAGGAGGCTTACATAGTCCTTCTCCACTCCATTTTAACCTCACAACAACAACCCTGTGAGATAGGTTAGGCTGAGAATGGGTGACTGGTCCAAAGTCGCCCAGTGGATAACCTAAACTCTAACTTCCATGCCACACTGCCTCTCATTCTTCATTTTCTCATGCGCCCAAGAATAGCTGTTATTCTTTACTAGTTGGCCCTCATTTTCATTAGTGGGTGTTTTATCAGGTGATACAAATGTGACCTTCCATTTCCATGTCCAACATATTCAGTAGTCTACACGTTAATTCTCGAAAGCCACGGCATCATGGCAGTGGCGTTGACAGATGAGTTCTGAAGTTTCTAAAGGGATATGATGGAGCCAGGCATAGGCACGCATCTGCTGTCCATCTACTTTTGTTTTTTTGTCTTATCTTCACTCACAAACAAAATACAACATTAGCCAATCTCAGGCACGTTACCTGTGAAAACAGGGCTGGAAAGCTGCCCTGTGGAATAACCATGCCAATAACCAATGAGGAGCCCATTCAAGGGAAGGGGTGAATCCTTGAATTCCATCCATTTAGGTCGCCATCCTATCAATTATGTCCTTGCTGCTCAGAAGCCTCTGCATTTGGACACTTCTGAACTTCTTATGCTCTGCCAGGCTGAAGCCAGCAGGGTGAGGAGCCATAGTGCTGATCTTTGCTTCCCCATCTTCCATCTTTCCTGGTGGACCATCAGACCATCTAGCAAGGGAAATTTGAAAAGAGCAAAGGAGGCTGAAGGGAGCCTCAGATAACTCATGTCCCACCAACCAGAACATGCCCTTTCCTTCCTTTCCAAGGTCAGTTTTCTGAGAGGGTGGCTGGCATGATTCTTTCCATATCAGCTACAAGGAGATGGAGAAGAGGGTCAGGGTCTCTGAGTGATGCTTCTTGAATAGCAGAGCTAATTTTAGACGTTATCACATAGGACCTGAAGTAAATGTGTGCTGTGCCATGCCTCCCTATGGCCTGGAAAGGCTTGTCGATGGTGAACCCAGTATAGGAAATGTGGACAGTTTCTCCCAATCACACTGCTCCCTGATTTGCCATTAATCTGACTGAGTTGGGAGTACCCTTCATCTTCACAGCTCTGAACTCCGTAAGCAACGTCAAGGGAAGGCACTGCAGGGGAACTGGGGAGGAAAATGTTTCTCATTAGGGTTTCAGAAAGCAGCCGGTGGGTTTACTTTATTCATGAGCTAAAGGGACAGGATTTTTAGGAGGTAAAGAAGGCTAACTATGCAAAATGCACTGCAGGAATGCGTTGATCAGGGCATTACAGCTACATGACTGGAGGCTTACGTTAGATTATCTTGGTTTCAGCCCCACCTGTTGGTGAGGCTCCCTCCCCACTTCTTTCCTTGAGTGTTGCATGGGGAGGGGACTCTTCCTGGACTCTTCTTATGTCCAGCTGTCACTTCGTACACAGCTTCCTATTCAAGACAGAAGGCCGCTTTATTATCATTCATCACACTGCCCTGTGGTCCACTCTATCTTTAAGGCATGGGGTATAGAGCAGCATTTCTCTGTTGCAGCTTCCCTCACCACGGACCACTTTCTGCTATCATTGCATACCTGGAAAACCAAAGCTGAGACTGGGGAAAAGCCCCAGAAATCCAGTAGGTTCAATTCCTGACACAGAGCTTGTAGTTCTAGACCAGTCTGGTGTCCTCTGGTTGTTTTGGACAATAACAGTGCCCAGCATTTCTGACCAGGCAGATGGGAATTGAAGTCTCAACCATCTGGAGAGCATCAGGTTGGGGAAGGTTATTCCAGCAATCCTTTCACAACCAAGCCCTGGGATTAGGAGTCAAGGTGCTCATTCAGTTGTTTCAAGTGAAGCTTTTGGATCCACATCCAATATACTCTTGTGAACAAGGTTGTTCTAGATGTTTCATGGTGTTTGTGTGGATATTTGAGATCATGGAGAACACAAAGGAAAACACTTCAATAAAGAGCCAGGCTTCGCATGTCTTGAGATCAGGCCATCCAAGAGAAGAAAGTTAGGCCATTGGACTGAATTCAGGACCCAAATTCATATTTTATCTGCCAGATTATACTGAGTCCTTGTGTTGTTGTTGTTAGTCGCAAAGTTGTGACCCATCTCGACCCCATGGACAACATTCCTCCAGGCCTTCCTGTCCTCCACCATCCCCTGGAGTCCACTTAAGCTCATGCCGAGTGCTTCAGTGACTCCATCTAGCCACCTCATTCTCTGCCGCCCCCTTCTTCTTTTGCCATCTATTGTTCCCAGCATCAGGCTCTTCTCCAGGGAGTCCTTCCTTCTCATTAGGTGGCCAAAGTATTTGAGTTTCATCTTCAATATCTGGCCTTCTAAAGAGCAGTCCTTGGAATTTAGTAAGTTGTTTATCTTATGGGAACTGCTAGAAAGCTTATCATGTTAAGCTTGTGAGTTCCTTCTGAATAATGCATAGATTAAAATGGATATATGGTTAATGCTGCTTTCCATGAACTGTGCAGCGACATCCACATGTTGGCATGAACATTTGCAAAATTGACACATCCCATTTTCCTGGATCACACGATTCATGGCTTTTAGCCTAGGCCTCTGTGCAGAGAATCAGCAACACATGCAAGACAGCTGGCCCAGGAAGAGGATGGAAGCCTTAAGCTCGCTTTCTAGCAAGCCTTCCATATGCTTTGGAATGGGGCCTTTGAACAGTGTGAATGAGGATATATATCTTAGAACTCAGTAAATATGTGATTCCTATATTGTCATTTCTATCATCCCATTCTTTCTGGAGCATCTTATTTAATGCATATCAGAAAAAAATGAATGGGTTGCAATTTGTGCTTTTCTTTAGAATCAAGATCCCACCCTCAACCAAAACATTTCAGAAGCCTGCATTTTTCCAACAGCTCTTTCATCACAGAAGAGTGCAAAAGCATTTGCTGTGAACCTGCCAGAGAATGAGGGAAATGGGTCCGTAATACCAAGATGCCTGGGCTGACATTTCTAATTATCATTAATTACTAATTATTACTAATTGAATTATTATTCAGTAATTGCATCAGGATACGGTTAGGAATGTATACCCCAAAGCATATTGCTTTGAAAATAATGCAGTAGGCTTTCAGTGGGTTATGCACTCAAAATGTGCATTTCTACATTTCGTGAGAACACTTAGAACGGCACAATCTGAACTGGGTAAGGGTGAGAATAAGCCTGTGGACCACTGGTGGAGGATGAAGCCGCCACCATATTGCCACTCAGGGCTTCATTCGCCCTATGTGACGTCATCAATTCAAGTTGGTTGTGTGATATTCTGGTGCCATCTTGCTCAAGATATGACCCCTGATTGGCTGGCATCTTACAGAAGAACGAAGAAGCCCTACAAAGAAGCAGTACATCAGGACTACTAACTAGCAATGAAACTCATGGGTGGGAGTTTTTCAAGGGGCTTTTCCTGCATTATAATTCGATAGTTCAGAGAAAAATAGTGAAAATTGAAAAAAGGGGAGTCCCCTTCCTTGTTCTGTCATTTGGAAACAAACAGTATCTAAGTATGGCTGAGTATAAACTAAGTTTAAAATTTGTAAAGAGACAAGAAAGTAAAAAAACAACCCCCCCAAAAAAACTGCTAGAGTGCTATGGAAAGTCATTTTCATTGACAGGTCCTGTATGGCATAAGGGCAAATGAATTTGAGTGCCTAAGGAAAGAAATTGCTCTTTAATTCCATTGGAATTAAATATCAGTGGAGCATAATGCTCACGACTAACTCATACCATTGATTTAAAGGGAACAGGTTTTAGACAAGTTTTCTTTAGACAAGTTTTCCTTAGACATTGCTTCAGTTTTGATACAGTTACATTCTAAAATATTGGCCTTTTCATTCCATATTAATATTTTAGGATAGCTGTAACACTCAAGTCAAGGCCAATGTGTTCTGCAGATTTGAATGAATTTCTCACTTAACCTTAGAAATGTCATTTACCTTACGGCAGACCTGGACAGGAGAGAAGTGATTATGAGAGTCAACCAGACTATCACTAGAAACAAAAATCTGCTAAGCAGCCTAACCTTCAGTTCCTCAGGAGCTTTCCGAATGATATAAAAGACCAAATTCCATAAGGTTAGGAATAGAAATATATTAAGAAAAGTATTGAGTGAATATATCGTTTCATGGATAACAAGGACAATTTTGCTTTGTGTAGCTCACTCATGAATTTTCATTTTCACATAAAAGGTACATTAAAGTAACTCCAAATGACCTTTTGTGATAAAAAAAACCTTTTTTTAGAATTTATAACTCTGAAACTTTCTGTTTACTCTGTGTCCTTAGGGGTTTTCTTTGTTTTAACAGCATGCAGCTTGACAGAAATACACTACCCAAAAAGGGATTAAGGTATATAATGTTTTATTCAGCATGACTGCTGTTTCTCTGTTGTTCTGTAACTTTTTTTCAATAATAATTCATCCTTTTATTGTCGCCTCTATCTTGTTTATCAAACAACTAATAGAACTTCAGTTTATTCTAAGAAATTTCAGTCTTAAAGAATTCAATCTTTCCTTTCATTCTGGCAGTATGAAAAAAATTAAAATCTGTTGTAAATTATGCACCACCCTCAGTAATCATGAAATAATATTTTTACGCACACACACCTATATTTGTAAATTTATATTACTTTTTTTAAAATCCCAAAAAATGACTTAGGTGTTTTCCTGGAACCTCTGAATTTGCTTCAGATTTTGCTTCAAGTGGAGCCCAGTGGCAGAGAAATTTTGCTATTCTTGCTAAGATACCTCCACTATCTCCTCAGATTCCTCAGATATTTCACCTCTGAGAACTCTCAAATACATTTCAAATGTCATTTTCCAATTACTGCTTTTGCTGACTGCCTTTTCAGCACCTTCTTCTGCTTCTACAGGCTAATTCCCTAAAAACTCCCTTCTTAGTGCCAAACTAAATGTTCAAATCAGACATACTGTACATTTATGTAAGAGTTTTCTTCCCTAACCCATTGTGTAACTGTGCACAGTCCCAAATAGATTAGGATTATGGCACTCTAGGAGTGGGGGAAAATTCTCCACTCACCCATCCTCCCACCAAATTCTACCCATCCACTAAATGCTTTTTTCCCTTAGTAATCCCCCCCCCCCCATGAGATTAAAATTGGAATTGATGGGCTGTTCAATTCCACAGGAAGTTTTTATGGTATAAAAAAGAAGAAAGAAAGGAGCAGTGGGAGAGAACAGGTGACAAAGGCAGAAAACATCATCTGCCCCCATCCTTCCTGCAAATTCTCCTCACGGACCCTTGGAGAGCTAGGACCGCCAGCCGGTTTTCTAGCTCTATCACCACTGATACTTAGGCTCAGGAAAGAGAGAAGGCTGCACTCCAATTGCCACATATTTGGGTTGCTGTTCTTCTGAAGCTGAAAATTAAAGTTGGTTTTCCAGGAGGCTGGGAAATAAAAACGTGAGGAACTGGTCCCAGCTTCCCTTAGCTGACTGCTCCTCAAAAAGAATTCACTGTGTTGAATCCATCTTGGCTGTACTGCAGTTGGCAGAGCACCGCGATGTGACTCTTGAAATCAGAAGCTGAAGATGGTGTTTTTGCAGTCAGCAGTTCTGTTCTTTCCTTTCCAGCCTGTTGAATTAGAGACATCACCATAAGAGCCATTGATGGAAAATAAATATAGACAACCAACTCCCATATGGAGGATTTATCTCAAAAGCGTATCCTGCTCCAGAGCCCGCATGTCCCTGGCTATGAGTCTCCGTAAACACAAACAAACAAAAAGAGCCCCATGTGCTAACTTTGGCAGCATTCAGGTATTGAAACTTGCAGCAGACTCTTCAATATAAATATATATCAATAAACAGATATACTTCATGTTTAAAAACAGCAAGCAAGTGCCAAATAATTGCAGTACAATATTGTGACAAAATATAAAACATTGTGTCTGTTGTGACTGTGCGTGTGTGCCTGTGTGTGTATGTGTTGCTCAAGCTGCTGTAGTAGGCTTGAACTCTACATACTGAGTAATCCCCACCAAGCTCAGACGGGCAAATAAGTGCAGCCTCAGAGAACTTAGATGCTTACAAATGTCCAGGGAAGAGCATCGCTCCCTCCCTGCACCTCCCCTTCTGCAATTTGGCTAGATGGCCATTTTTGGCCACCTAGCTGAAACCTTTCCAAATGGAAAGGAAATGGATGGTGTTGGAGCACCATCGGGATACTCAGCATCTTCATGGCCCAGTAGCTTCCTCTCCCTAGCCCCATCCACATCCTTTACCCTTCCCTAAGATCAGTTTTCTGTCCTTGACTGCAGTGTAAGAAGGGGTGATGGTGCACAGGTCTCCAGCTCCAAGGTCACAGTTTTGTTTCCAGCCTTGCACCTAGAAATCTGAAATTTCCTATGGCCTCCTAGATGCTATCTAGGGGTCATAGGATTTTTCTGCATTATCTTATCAGGAAGAAATATGTCAGGATACGATCCTGATGTTAATATTCTTTACTAAACAAATCAAATGCCCCAAACTCCAAATCAAAACCAATGACCCTGTCCCATGTGCCGAATGAAGAGTTTTTCCAAAGTGCTGCAGCCCAGCAATTTAGTCCTGTAGTTGCACCGATGTAGGATTTCCATTGTTGCAACAAAGGGAAAGATCCTTGGGTGTTCAAGGCGCAGCCGCTACAATAGTTCGGAATGGTCATCTTCTGTGTATGTATGGATTTTAAAAAATGCCCCAGATTTTAAAACCACAATGAGGCTACACATGTTTTTAGGTCTGCAAGAAATTCGGCTCAATGAAGCCTGACTGCACATTGACACAGAAAATGCGGGCTGAGATGAAACCTGAACTGCCTGAAATGCCTGCACATGCTAACTCACCATCTTAATCCATTCAAGAATTTGCTTTTCTAAGTCCCTGCCACAGAGTCTGGCCAGTGGGCTCTAGCAAACGCTGCAGTTTGATTTTTGTATTTGGCAGCCACACCAAAAAGTCAGTGGGAGATTTGCTTTCTGAGGCTTTTGTTCCCGCAAACACCTTTCTATACAAGTGAGTATTCATTTTTTTCTCCCTCAAATCTATCCATTTGGGGCTAGCACAGAATAACGACAACCTTTTTGATAGACGAACACTGCATTTTGTCCCCTCAGATGCCACTAACAAATTAAAGTAATTTCTTTTACAGCGGCTGCTCTGCTCCTGTTGCTTTCAGCTTATGCGTAGCCTCTGCCCCTGTGGCAGATCTCATGCCGGAATTCTTCATTTGTCTGTCCTCACTACCAGTCGATCATTCCTCAGCTCTGTCGCTATGCTTGAAATTCAATCTTTGCTTTCCCCCATGTGCTAGAGTTTTCCAACCTGTCCTTAACAGCTTAGCAAGTTTTCCATGTGTGCTTTCCCATCGCATACAAATCGTTGTTAATTGTTTGTCTGTCCATTCCATGACTGATGTGAAGAATCTGAGTTTTTGTTCAAAATCTGTCAAATGAACTTTGTAATTGCGTGTACTTGATACCAACCATTGTGCAATGAGCCATTATTTATATGTTGTCTCTGGAAATTTAAAGTGTACCAGTGTTGGTGTTTTTCAGGTATACCCCGTCCTCTCGGCAGGCCAGTCAGGAGGAAGGGAAAGAGTGGCTGCGTTCCCATTCAACTGGAGGCCTACAAGACACTGGAAATCAGTCTCCCTTGGTATCTCCTACAGCGATGTCTTCATCTGCAACTGGGAAATATTTTTCCAACTTAGGTAAAAACAAAAACAAAGCTTGCAGAGTATGTGTATTGAGTTTATTTGTACAAATGAGCCTTTTGGCAGGGGCCAGTGGGGGATCATAGTGGCAACAGACAAAATCAGGGATGTTTGTTATTCTGCTCATTCTGTATATAGGCACATTGTGAACACCAGTGCACTTACTATATGCTTTAGACCCAATTAAGTCTCACTGAGTTTTGTAGGAGTGATTCTATTGCTGGTCTCAGCCTTACTGTCATAATCTATTTTACTGCCCCTCTGAGAGGCTGATGAACATTTTCAAAAGAGGGGTCATGTGCAGAAGCAAGATGTAACAAGTTGATCACTAGCTCTGTGCAATAGTAAGCAATCAGCCCAAGCTCTTTAACTGGGGAACAACTGTGCACAATTGCAGCTTTATCTGCCTTACCAAGTTGGTCCAGATAAGTGCCTAACATAGAGATTAGCCTAGCACTAACCCTTTGTACTGCAGATAGGAGATCTGGGGAATAACGATCATGAACTCTGTACTATTTGTCTCCATTATTAGCATTATCTTTAAAACATTTTTTTTCTATTGCTTTAACCAAGAGAGAAATGTGTCTAATGCACAAATAAGTAAAGGTATCACAAGTTATGTTCCAAACTAAAATGGTAATTAAAATGTGATCTATCAAGTGAGAAAAATCTTGTCCTCTCCAAAATCTTGGTGGAAAAATATCACAAACGCACAGAAGGATGTTGCTGGGCATGCAGATATGTCTGTAAAATAAAATACTTTTCAGACAACTTTAACTGTACTCAATGGTTTATTTAGGTAGTTTCTTAGAATTTATAATATAGTATTATGTCTGCCTCTCTCTCAGTCTCCTAGGGATGTGCACTGCTAAGTTATTTGGTTTTAAAATGCATCAGTTGAATTGAAGTAATTTAAATATGTCTCTGTGTTTGACAACTGTAGTACCATCTTTAGTCCCTAGGTGGCAAACTTCCCTAACAAACAGGTAGTTTGTAGTCAATACAGTTTAAAAGCCATCAGGACCTAGCCTGAGTGATGCAGTTCTTACAGCTGTCCCTTCCACCTTTCTGTGGGGCATCAGGAGAAGGGAGTGGGCAGGCACCACCCTCAGAGGACTACAGGAGTGCTGCCTGGCAGGGGTTATGCCTAGAGGCGACAGTGGCCATTGCTTCACTTGGGTGGCCAGTTCTGATACCAGTTTAGCTTTGCTTGAAGTTTTTGTTCTATCAAACTAATGGTAATTCCTCCCCATGTGAAGATTGTTAAATATATTAAAAACATTACACACAAGTACTACAAATAAGATGAAATTTCTACTGAAAAAATCTAACTGAAAAACTGAACTGAACTGAAAAAATCTAATAGCTGACCTTTCTTTATGTGAATTAATAGATCTTTGTTTGGAGATGCATAAATCTCTATAGACATCTATGGAAGTACACTACAAGCACTAAAACAGTAGATTGATGTGGATGCAGAGGTGTCCCTTTTTTACTCTAAAACTTTTTACTCTGAAAGTTAACTGATGTGCTAATCTGAATATCATATTAGCAAGTCAAGAGGCTTCTTTTTTCCTGTTTTTTGTTAGTGAAATACCTAAGCCCTGGCTCTGTTTGAAGAAAAGGAACACTTACTTCAGTATGATTTTATAACTGTATATGGACTGTAGCATAGACAAAGATGGCATGCTTATTTTAGGCAGATAGTTAAAGTTCCTTTCTTGCTATCAATCTTTATTTTGGTAAAAAGAAATCTGTATGTATTTGTGGATTAGTTTTCTTCTACTATGATGGCCAGTAGAACTGCTTATTGCAAAAGCTTTACAGTCTCTAGTGCTTCTTTTCTCAGTGGGCCATTTTCCAGTGGCATTAAATGACTGTCAGAAAAATATTGTTCCAGAATTTTTATGTTAGACACAGCAGCCCTGCTAGAAGTACTTTGATCTACCACATCAATTCAAAATGTTGACACAATAGTCTGACAAGGGGCAGATGAGGCCTGTTTTCCATGGCTTCAGCTCCATGTCAACTAAAGGGATCCAAAGAGTTCCTTAAAAGATTTTTGAAAGCAGGCCTTCCAAATTATCTGAATAAAGACAGAATCGCTTCCTTCTCTTTTGAGTACATTCATAATCTAAAATATCTATGCTACAGAATTAGCAAGTGCTATATTGTAATCCACAATACTAAAGGAGAATGCATACCTGTCTGTCAATGGCATAATTCAAAAACCATGAAACTTATACTTCTGAAACATGGCATGCATACTAAAGGTACCCTAGGGGTGTGTACCTCAGAAATATTTAAAGAGTTTTGTTAAATGATCATGTATTTTTACATTTCTGTATGTTGAAATCCTGCGGTATCATCTTTCGTCACTAGGTAGCAGACTTCCCTAACCAACAGATAGCTTTGTAGAAGATGTAGTTTGAAGGCAGTAGGAAAGGCTTTATAGCTGCTGCCTTCCCACTGCTGAGTTGAAGCCTCCCTCAGGAGACTGAGTAGGGGAGATGCTTTCCTTGGAGCTATGGGAGTACATAATGCAGGAAAGATGTACCCATGTCCTTGGCTTCATTCAAATGGGGTGGACACAATGGCCAGGTTTGTGCAATTGGGGGCAGCAGGTAGAGCCACAGTGGCTTCCTTTGCTCACCAGTGACGTATCAGTGACATGCTGAGCAATTTATCTAATTGCCCTTGTGATGTGCAGTTTTCCACATAGTCTGAACCCAGTAAGGTGTGGATTGGGCTTTATCATTCCAACCACTCCAGAACCCCCAAACATGCCATGGGTTCTGGGGCAGTTTCAAAGCCACTTCTGATGAATACCTACCTGGGTTCAGAGGACTCAGGAAGCCAGACTCTAGAAGGGGCTGAGCAATTGAGCAATGTAACTTCTGTGATCTTGTGTACCTATCCACAGCCAGTTACGTGTTTTTGCTTGAAAAATTTGCTGAATCAAATGAATGGCTATTTTAAACCAACCAATGCTGGTTCTGTTTGCTAACCTTGAATATGTTTGGAAGCATTCTCTATACAAATTCTACTATACAAAGAAAAATAAAACGCAAATGCCTAAGTGGTACCCTCACAACAAATAAGGATGTAAAGCTATCCTAAAATTGTGTCTAATTATTCCTGTTGAAAAAAATAAGAAGTTTGCATGTCATTTGGGACTGTTTTTCCCTGGAGTACAGTGATCTGTTATTAAAAGATATGCTTGATACTGCAGTGAGTCCAACAAACTTATCCCAATTCAAACTTCCTGGACCCAGTATGATGCGGTCAAACAGCATCCCGGCACAAGATTCTTCATTTGACCTTTATGATGATTCCCAGCTGTGTGGTAGTGCGACTTCCTTAGAGGATAGACCACGTGCAATCAGTCATTCTGGTTCATTCAGAGATAGCATGGAAGAAGGTAAGAGTGCATGTGGCTGCAGAGGCTACATTTGGAGCATAAAATGAAATGAAATGAAATGAAAATGAAATGAGCCAAATAAAAATAAATAAAAATACAATGAGCTGAACTGTTAGTTGTAACTGTTAGTGTAAACCATGCTTTACCATCCAGCTTTAAACCATGATTTCAGATCCTGGTTTGTTGGCCCCAAACCATGGTTTATATACAGGCTCACATGCAGGATACTTTATGACTTCATGAGCTAGATAATAGTTTTCTCTTGAGAAGATCTTGATTCAGATTCCTTCTCAGGCACAGTGGGTGATCTTGGGCCACTTGTACATTGGACTGCTGTAGGGATAAAACAATTATTCTGTACTCTTCCTGAACTCCTTAGAAGAAGAGTGGAATGTAAATGTGAACTTATGAAAGTTTAGATGGAAATGTCTGTTGGCTTTGCTACATAGCCTTGTGATACTACTGTGTGGAGACTTACCCACAGACTAGTCCATATGAAGAAAAGGGAGATGCAATAACAGCTCTTTCTATTTAGAAGGCAAGAATCTCTTCCTCTTGTTCATCTGTAAATAAACTTTACTGAAAATGAATGCAGTTTTAATATAATAAAATTAATATAATATTGCTTTCTTAGGTAATACAACTCTAACAACAGGAACATATTCTTTATCTACTCAGATCCCTACTGGGATGGTAATTCAGAGCTGTTATCATTCCACCAAGGTGCATGGTCTATGCCACCATGGCTACTCAGCTATTGAAACTCTTCTGGCTTTTACTTTCATCAGCCTGATTTTCACTTTCCCCACTTCCATCAGTTTGCCGATGCTTGCCTGGCTCAACTCCCCTGCACTGCTTGACTACACAAAGTCATTTCTTTCCCTTTCCCTGTGTGTGGTGTTTCAGGCTAGCTCTGGCAGTAGCCCAAATGTAAGAGGTTCTCTTTTCCTGGCACTTGCAGCAGTCCCCAGCTGATTTTACTTTTCTGTGTTTCCAAGAGGCAGAGCTGGCCTCACCCAGACATCCTCAACTAGCTATTTTGACATTTTAAAAGTAAGGGGTATTGCGGGGCTGGTGTCTCTGAACTGTGGCCATGAAGAGATCTATCCATGAATAGATCTGAAATAAGTGATGATTCCTTATGCTTTATGAAAATCCTGAAATTTAAAAAGATGTTTTCTTTGAAATGAAGAAATGTCGCCATGCAGTATTTGCCCAAGAAGATCAGCATCTCCCTTACAAATTTTCAACCAAGGGACAAGCAATATTCTATTATAAATCTGCTGGATTTGTTTAATGGGTAGACTATTTGGGTGGATATCAGATTCACATCTCTGTGGTATCATGAAGTTTACTGATTGAAATTGGACTGCTGTGTTGGTTCTGAGGGCCAAACTAGTCATTTATGCAAATGTACAAAAGTAGCATTTGCATGAATGACTTCTGAAAATTAAATTGATGACTGCAGTGCTGTTCCATAATGGTTCCTTTCTGGGTGGAGATTTTCTGGTGTATTGATTTTGTTTTAGAGGCTTCACTAAAGTTTACAATGTCCTGTGCTTTGGCAACAAGCAGAAAGCCATGGGAAAAGGATCATGAGAGCACTCATGAGTGAAATAGGAGGAAATGAGAGGGATCAAACAGGCCCTGAATTTCTTGGAAGAATACAGCATGATGGATCAGATAAGACCAGTTGGGATGCATAGGGCAGTTTCTAGCCCTAAGAGACACTCCTAGATTGCCCATCATAACATCCCCTAACACCACTAAACTGGAGCCTGAGCTACATTTGGTGGGGAGTTGCCCAATCATCCTTGTAGGAACAGAAAAGTATGAAAGACTGGTCACCCATGCTAGTTTCCTATGGCTCTGTTTCATAGCCCTTGGCAGGAAGCTCTCCAAAATCTTTGCTCTTGTGACTGCCCTGCTATCGCATGTATAAGCTTCTGGACATTTTCCTGCTCCCACAATATTGGAGTAACACATTCCACATTCACACTCATCCTTCTGCCAACATTGTGATGAAAAAGAATTAAAGAGGAGCTGGATGAATTACAAGTGTTCATCCAGGATCAATAATCCACCCACAAACAGCCCAGGGAACAGCAATTCTGTACTAGCAGGGTGAAGGAAATCATTTCCAGCACCTGCATTGTGGGGCCAGCCAAAGCCACATGGGCTCCTTATCCCAGAGATTGGTGGGAAGGATTAGTTCCCAGTTCCAGTGCCTCAATCTTACTAACTTTCCCATGACTGAACATGCAGCCTACTATCAGCAACAGCTCCCAGGGACTTATTAAGGGTAAGACTGATCTACATTGATGAGTGTGCCCGCCTGCCCACCTTAGACACTGGGTCACATTGACTGCACCTGCTTCCCTGCTCTCCTCACCCCTATTCCTTTTTCTTCGTGAGCTGTGTTCAGCTCCCCCGATACTTTAGCCCCATCCACTTTTCCCTTCCTTTGTTATGGTTCTATGCATTAAAATGAAATAAAAAAACATTTGATTTTAAAATACGTATTTTAAAGAACAAATTAGCCTCCAAGAGGTCCTCATCAGGTTTGGGAGGATGAGGAATTTAACTCTTTGCCCTCCACTATAGTCCCCACCTGAATTTGGGAATGGGGGGCCATCTGATCTTTTTGTTGAAAGAAAAACCCTTATTTGCCTTATTCCAAAGCAAATTGTAGGCATGGCAATCCTGACTGAGGCCAGGACCTCTGTGAAGGGTTAAAGTTTCCTAACCTTCTGCACCAGGACTGTGATCCAGTTCAGCTCCCAAACCCAGAAGGTTCTGATCTGGATTTCAGGGTTTTTTATTCTTGCTCTTTCCTTTTGAAATCCGTTGACGAGGTTGCTCATTATGTCAGCAGTGCCTCACCTAGTCTCACCCTAAACCTCTTTATGTAGAAGTAGAAACCCAATTTTTTGCATAGTAGCAAAGCAACCGACTAGTGTCCCAAACGAGGTCCATGTAACTCACAGACCTGGTTTGCACAAGTGCAGACTATCCAGCAAACCAGAGTTGGCTTGTTAGCCATGCTGCATGTGCCAGTTGCATGCTGGGAGAATTAGCATAATTACCCTCATCAATAAAGCTTGTTGTGTTGTGGTGAACCTGGCCGGGAAGACTTGTTTCTGTGGGCAACAATCTACTGAGAGCCCTGCAACAGTTTATTTTCCTAACAGTGATCATGCAAACTAGGCTGCATTGTTAGCAAGTCACTCTTTCACAATCTAGATTCCAAACAGCATTTAGAAGTTCTACATGTGCTTTGTCAAACATTGATTTGCTAAAAGGTGACATTCAGATGCTGTTTTGCTATCAAAGCTTGATTAATGATTGCTGTTCACTGGCAAAAATACAGCACCCCTTTAAAATCTCTATCTACAAGTGGTTTTTTGGCATAGAAAAGTCATTTTAGGCACTGAATAACTGTGTGTGTGTGGTTTTTTCTTTTAAAATGGATAGTCTCTGTAATAGCTTTCCTTCTGTAGAAAATTGTTCTCATTTGAAGAGAGATGTTTTGTTAGTGAGCTTGACAGGAGATAACTCCTGTTGTTCCATCAATATTTCTGCAGTAATACTCTTGGTGTTTTTCTGTTTTTAGTACATGGCTCCTCATTATCACTAGTTTCCAGCACCTCCTCTCTCTACTCCACAGTAAGTGTTGACAGTATATAAAAACTCATCTGTTGATATTGTACATCCCATACAAAGCTAGGTAGCTTCTTAGATAATCCAGGAAACAAACAAAAATTCAGCATAGGTGTTACAATGAAAACCTGTTTGAATTTAACGTCTTCCTTATGACTTCCAAATACACAGCTCCTTGAGAAGAATTTGGCCCCCTTTTGTGTTTTCTCTTGAAAGCTGAGCTGCACAAAGTCTACTAGGGTCCAATTGCTTTGTGTGCTACTCAGAACTTTTGTATTTTGCCATTTTGGCTTGTTTCATTATCTTCAGATTTTGTTCACTTTAAGAGCCAATGGCACAGTAATTGGCCACTTGGAGGATTGCTTTTGCTCTGCAGACAGAGGCTTGCCAATGTGAGAAAGATTACTCTGAAATTAAAGTGCTGCTTGGAGAACACAATTTTGGTTTGCAGTGTAAAATGTTCTTTGGAGAACCAGACAGTAGGTGACTCTAATTATGAGCCATATTTCTTCTGTGGAACACAGTGGAAGTTTGCCTTTACATTTGACTTAGGAAGCAGAATGGAAGTATGTTGTTTAAAAAAGCAGTTCTGGTCAACACGACACCACTTCAGATGTCATTTCACACGCCATTCTTTACAACCTGGCTACTTTTGAGGTTGAAAACCTACAGAGCCAACCAGTTATTGTTATTGGTTGTTGCTAGTACAAGCTTACCATATAAATGTACATTTTGTAACAAACTGTCATTGATTCATTGAGCAGGAAAGGTGAATGTTGCTATCCAAAAAAAAAAAACAAACAAACAAACCTGAAGCTCTGCTTTGGAAACCAGAGCTATTAAGTGGTCTTTGGATACCAGCCTCACTTGAGTAGCATCCCATGGGGTGCTGGTTTTTTTCTGACCCACTCTGATTCTTTTGCACAAATGGTAAATCCCTCTGACAGCATTGCATATTGTCTCGTAAGAGCTATAATAATAGTGTGCAAGTGATAGGGTTCATCTGTGCAACAGAATCAATGGGGCACAAAAGAATTGGTGAGGGAGTCTGCCTTATAATTCTATTATTGCTATGTGTCCTCAAGTCATCTTCAAAATGCTTTGTCATTGACAGCCTTGCTCAGTTCTTGTAAATTCAAGGCTGTGGCTTTCTTTTACAGAACTGATCCATCGCATAGATTCTTCGTCCTCCTTCTCCTCCACCTTTGACTTTTCCTAGCATTACTGTCTTCTCCAATGAGTCTTACCTTCTCAGGACATGTTCAAACTCTGACAGCTTCACTTGCATCATTTTTGCTTTTGTGAAAACTTCTGGCTTGATTTGATCCAGATATCATTTGTTTCCTTTTCTATCAGTCCAGGGCATTTGCAAAGCTCTCCTTCAACAATGTGTTTCTAAGGCATCCATTTTCTTCCTGTCAGTTTTCTTCGCAGTCCAGCTTTCACATCCATGCATAGTAATCAGGATTATATAAAAATGAAAAAGTGATTTCAATTAAAACATGAAAATTAAAGGCATATACAAACCCCAAACCTTGCATAAATTGCCTTTTTAATTTTAGCAGCAATAATTTACATAAATCTTAACTTACTTTTTCTGCAGCTTCTTTTAAAGAAGTAAGGCATTTCAAAATATGAGAATCGTAGCCTCTTTCTTGTTTAAAGCATGGCTACTGTCAACTTAGTTTTAATAATGCACAGGTTCAAAAGATCAAGAAATTCAAATTGTAGATTGAATTAGCTTTGTTATTCCTAGCCTTTAGGCCTTCCCATCCTTGTCCATGTATATTCTCAAGCATCAGGCTTATGTTTTTAATAATCTCCTCACCCAATTAAAGTACCAAATTCTATAAAAACTGAAATAATGATTTCATAATGAAACATTCAATTATGGACATACATGCAGTCTAAAAATTTGCATACATTTAGTACAACCCCTCAACTGTATGTATTAACTTGCCTAAGCTGCAGTGGTTTTGAAAGAAGTAAGCAATGCTTAAAATATGGATGACATGGGAAAACATATAAAAGGTCACATTTGCATAATATAGCATAGCATATTTGGCACAATATTTAATTCCATTGGGCCAGAAATTGGAAAATACAAACATGATGACCTGTATTCAAGGCTTGGTTATGGGTTGTTGTTGATGAAACAACAGGAGTTCTTGATGAAATGTAATTACTGTCTGAACCCAGCTGTGCTAACAAACATGGCCTGTTAACTTAGGAACAACCTAGTAAGAAATGCAATGCTTTTCTGTTAAATTGTAGTCTATGGGTTGCTCACCATGGATGTTTATATCAGCTGGTTTCAGAGAAAACAATAACAGATGGCTCAACGACATCCCATATTCAACCCCTGAGTGTGGCTTATTGTGTGGTTTGAACGCACTGTAACACATGACTGAACTTCCAAGTATTCCTATGAACAAAGAGTATTTCTGAAATGTTCTTGCTGCAATAAATATATCTGCATTAGGAATTTATACCATTGTAACCCGGGTGAATAGCATGACCAAGTAAAAATTCATTATTGGCAAGTTTTCAGTGAATTATACACCATCACACATCAAATCAGATGGGAATAGCTTTTTGGAGATTTCTGTTCCTTGATCCCATCGCAGTTCCCTTTCTAGCCACTTGACAACACTTCTCATTCAGCATTTGAGTATCTAGCTGTGATAATGGAAACTGAAGAACCTTTTTTTGTTAAGGGCAAGGGAGGCTTTGGGATTATAAATCCATTGTGTGAATTGTACTTGAAAGACATAATCCTTGATCAGCATTTCCCCTGCTGATTCTCATACACACTGAGGGGTAAAGCTCATGGTATCATGCAGTTCCTAATCAAGGAATGGTACTCTAGTGGAAGCATCAAGCAAAAACTGGATTTCAGTGATGGACAAGTCAATGGCTGTGTCTTTCATATCTGCATGTTGAGTTTAAAGGGTCTCCACTTTGCTTTTTAAACTACATCCTTACATCACTTCCCTTGTCCCAGGTTATAGTACCCTCAAGAGATGAAAATACTTTTTTGTTTTTGCTGCCAGGAGCATTGAATGGTTTATTCTCTCTTTGCTTCCCTTATGTCAGACTTCTGTAAAACTATTTTACTTCTATTCCTTGATTCTTGCCTTCTACTTCTTTTCGCATTTCCACACATTATGTTTGAAAGGCATTCATTAGATTTACCCTGCAGATTGGGCATGGAATCACACCATGACTCCATGCTAACATTTAATACAGTTCATTGGTCCCTGCTTGAAAGGAGCTCTAACAACCATATTTATTTATTTTTATTTATTTATTTATTCATGTCATAGATATTGCTTCATAGTCCTCCAGCAGACATTGTTAGGCCATTTACAAAAAAGGAATTAAATCGTTTAAGGTTAGAACAGCATTGGCATGCCTCAAAAAAAAAAAAAAATCTTACAGTGTACCTGTATGCATGTCTGCTCAGAAGTAAGTTTCAGTAAGTTCAGAAGAACTGGCTCCCAGGTAAATGTGCCTAGGATTCCACCCTCCATAACCTAAAAGCTTGATAGTAGTTCATTTGCTGGCAGAAGAACATCTAAAAACCAGCACAAAAATGTTATTTACATTTATGAAAATTATTAACATTTTCATTTTTATCTGAGCCAGAAGCTCAGATAAATTTTTACATTTTAATGATGTAAAATTAAGCTGTACACTTTCATAAATAATTGTTTTATCTCTCCCTCTAGGCTGAAGAGAAGGCACATTCAGAGGTAAACATCATCCTATGTTTAATAAATATTTTATATAAAATATTCCACGGTACAACATGCTTTTCAATCTACCTTGATGAACTGGTGATATAATGCACAGTGATAAAACATCTCCCATACATCGCACATGAGTGGCCCTGCCAAAACAACTGAGGCAGGTGACCACCAGGACAGAGGCCGTTTTTTTGGTGAACCATGGTTATGAAACTGCCCTTCCAGAGAGCGTTGCTGGATTCCGGGTTTGTTTTTGTTTCCTTATGTTTTTTGTTCTTTTGGTCCCTTCTGCATCAAGGATGCAGACCTTTTTACCCAACTGGTCCTTTTAAATGTCTTTTAATCTTGGTTTCTCCATTTTAGCAGTTTGCATTGTTTAATACTCTATTCTAATGTTATTATTATTATTATTATTATTATTATTATAACATTTCTATGCCGCCCCTTGCCGAAACCTCGGGGCGGCTTACAACATGATAAAATACATTGAAATACAATAGTACATAATAAATTACCATTAAATATAACAATACAAAAAATACATTGATTTACAAATACAAAATTAAAATTATCAGTATAAAATAAAAATATAGGAGGAGAAAGAGAAGGAAGAAGAAGTTGCCCAGGCCAGATCATATGTTTTAACAATTGAAATGATGTTTAAATAAAAAGGTCTTTACCTGGCGCCGAAAAACCAGTAACGACGGTGCCAGGCGGACCTCTTTGGGGAGTGAATTCCATAGGTTGGGCGCCACCGCAGAGAAAGCCCTCCTCCGGGTACTTACTCTCCTAATTTCTTTCATGGAGGGTTCTCGGAGAAGGGACTCTCCCGCAGATCTCAAAGGGCGGTCGGGCAATGTTGGGTTTATTTGTGAGTTGCTTAAAAATCTTTTCTTATGGTGCAAAAAGCACAATGATAATTAGAATTAAATAAAAATGTCACTGTGTATTCTCATCAGGAATCACCTTCAGCCACCACTCAGTAATAGCAACCTCTTACCCTCCTCTCCTGACCTCACCTAGCATCTCTGCATTGAATTCATATTCATATTATTTTCGTGTAATTAGCTATACCGCTATAGTAAGTGTTATCAATTTAAAAGGCTCTGTAAAGGGATGCTAAAGGCCCAGGGTGCTACTCTTTTGGCTGGGACTTGTTGGCCTTTCCTTGTTAAATCTAATTCTGCCAGCTTCATAAATAATCAAACAGAAGCTATCACTTCACATGCTTAGTACTAAACTTATGAATCTGTGGTAGTTTCATCTTCCATACATTTTACGGAAACATTCCTGAAATATTCCTTGTGTGTGCAGGTAACAGTGATATAACATTTATTGTATGGTCACTACCTTAGACAGCTTTGCAAGGGGATTAGGCAAATGCACAATAGATGATAGTAACAAAAGTATAGCCACCAGAATCAACCAGGACTGCCTTTGCATTTGTTTGACTAAGCCATTAATGTACTGTGTTTAGTGCATGGTCAGATAATGCTTGCTATAAGTTGGTGCATTCGATAGGCTTTAATCAAAGAATAAGATTATACTGGCATATTTTTAAAGGAATCTGTGTTTGCCCTCATTCAGCAAATTCATAAACTACGAAGGGAACTGGTTGCATCACAGGAAAAAGTGGCCACTCTGACATCACAGCTGTCAGCAAATGTAAGTCATTTTTGGTTGCTATTAACAATTTCTGTGTGGTTGTACTCTGGATTTTTAGCCACAATACTCTTGGGAAGAGCATCACCATGGGCTGTCAGCTCAAACAAATGTAGGGTGCCCATTGTAAGCCAATTTCTCTAACATGAATTGGACTGGTAATTCTGGACACAGTCTTGTGCAAGAAAAAATGGATTGATAAATCATGAGGAAAAAGTTTGACTTCCAGCAGAGCAACAACAGCAGCTTAGGTAAAGAGAAAATACATTTAATGGTAGCTACGGATTCATGGTCCATCCCAATACGATATCTCCGGTCTCCCTGCGTTGATGAGGAAAGTATGCAGTGATGGCATAACCACATTTGGTTAAAGAATCAAGAACCATATACTATATGGATGGAAACAAGTTTCACCCACTATCTCTGGTGCAATGGTTGCCTGTGCAGCAAATGAAAGACTCTCAGAATGACTGGAATACATTTTATCTGAATATCTATGGCCACGTATAATGTTAAGTGACCAACAGACATTTTTTCAGGGATCTATAGAGATCAAGATTTGGGGACTGCATATTGTAGTTCTAAATTATTATCTTGACTTTCCAGCTTTTACTTAAGATACTGTTATTCCTTCTGTTTGAATAATACTGAATTTCTTCTTACATAACTTCTCGTTAAACAAGAAAAGAAGCATCAAACAAGTTTCTTGTGTTACTACAAATGAATCCCCACAAGAATAGTTATTTCTCTTACCAGCCAGGTAGCAATAATTTCACATACTTGATTGTATTCTACACCAGATCCCTCCAGAATTGTACACGGTATCATAAAATCTTATTTAAAAACTGAAAGGAAGAAGCAATTGAAATTTTGAGTTTCTGCAAAATGAATGAATTTTTGCTGAAGCACAGCAATTACCTCTGTAAGGAAATAAAATGTCAAGTGTCACCTCCTGACATTGGTGGGTTTTTCTGAATAATGCAACACGTTTTCTGAAATGTGACTGGCTTAGAGCAGGGAACTTTCATTTCAGACACTCGCTATCTTTTCCAAGGTCTGTTTTAAGTAGATAATGGGATAAACTTAATGTTGCATCCACAGACCTGCTCTTTTCTCCATTGCAGCACTTTATGCTGTGCCCCTGTCTGTTCAAGAGTGCCCCCTTGCTGTCCAAGGAAGATTAAGGGCCATGTGGGATTCAGTAGGAGGAAGCAGCGCAGTCCCCATTCCAGTAGCTGTTATCTACTACATAAGCTGAATTATCAAGGCCCCACCAAGCCAACTAGGAACCCAGACTTCATATGTAGAGTCTGCTACTGCTGATTAACACCAGAGCTTAAGCATCTACTTACAGCTGATAAAATTAATGCAAAGTAAAGGTAATTTACTAATACATTAAGAGTAGATTAAGTACATGTGAAAATATTCATGGGCAGCTGTCCTACAATTTATTGTTTCTTATAGGAGAAACAAATAAACTATACATTTATTAAAGAGCAGCATGTTAATTTTAAACTTGAGGTATGTGACAGAATTTTTTAAAAAATGCCAAATTTCTTCTTTTACATTTTATGTCTAATGGTAATACCTTGACTATTTCTCTGAAAACCTTATGGCCACTCTTGACTGCTCCTCCTAGATCATTTTCAAGCCTCAGTTTGTTCCCTCAGCTTTTTGTGGCATGGCATAACATTGTGTTACTCATCACTGAGTCAAATGGTAAAGCCCTCCAGCACTTAATGAATCCAGCTCTGTTTCTCATACTCTGTAAAACATGGTACTGGCAAGTAACTATTGCTTATTGGTGACTTGGTCATAGTTATATATTGTACATTTTCATGAAATAGACATATGATTAATATACTCTGAATTTATTTAGACCTGACAGCAGTTCCTTATCTCTGGTTTCCTCAGCCTGGTGCCCTCCACATACTTGGGATTTCACCCTTGATCAGATCCAGCCAGTCTGACTAATGCTCAGGGATGCTTGGACTTGTAGTCTAAAATTTCTGGAGGATAACAGGCTGGGGAAGGCAGCTCCAGTCTGGTTTGATACAGGATTGTTTAACTTAGAATGTGAGTGATGCTACTTGACTCCATCTTTACATTTGGCATACATTTGCATGCCTGTCATGTTAGGATTGGATTCTTGGTTGGATCCAGGCTAACAGTTCATTCCTCTACATGACTTTGTAAATGTAAGGCCCTTTGAGTTCAGTATTTTTTATTTTATTTTGTTTTATTTTATTTAAAATATTTATACGCCTCCCTACACGCAAAAGCGTCTCAGGGCGGCTTACTTACAGTCGGACTTACTTCCATGTACATGGGTATAGGATTGCATGCTTCTGTCTCACTAAAACCAATGGGAATTATGTTGGTCATTACTAATTTGTTGCATTGATTTCAGTGTGTCAAATTAATTCTTGATCCAACTCATTATTTAGATTTGTGCACGCAATCAGTGAATACCATTAGCATATTTTCTTACACCTATTTTTACATTTTCCTGTTTTCTGACTGACTAACGAGATGTTTGCAAGCCATTATTTTGCTTCCAAGTATTTTTATCTCTTGTTTGTTAGGCAAGATTCTCTTATCTGAGTTCCTAGTGCTGGCTTCAGTATCTACTTATTTATCTCATTTGATAAACCCCAAGGCATCTTCCATTTTTTACAATTTAATCTACTCCAACTCCAGCTGCTGCTGATGTCTTGATGCACAGTTATTTCAACACGAAGATTGAGTTTTCCCTTGTTGTTTGTTTCAGACTGCTGAAGGGAAAATCCAGGAGCTAGTTTTCAAAAAGGGTAATTCATAGTTCTGTTGTATCTAAACTGGCAGACTTTCTACTTGAGATGGACTCAAATTTCATTGAAATTTCTAAGCTTCAGGCCTACCATGTTTATTGAAAACTAGTTTTTCATCAATGCATCTTGGCACATAAAGCTCATGGCAAACCTGTAGTTTGTAGGCCAACATAGGCTAATACTTGGCCATGAACTGCAGCCCTACCTAGTACATGTATGAAAGCAGGGAATATAGAATCATAGACTACTAGAATTGCAGGGGGCTCACCAAAGATGCAGGCAGAAAGCAAATGAATCTCCCACAGAATTCTGGGTACAGAGCAAACACAACAGAGCCAAATCATCCATAACCACCATTAACAGCTGGCACACTTGTGGGGAGGTGTGTCCACATTAATGTGATAGGGGACCTTTTTCCTAAGGAGTCTTGTTATACTGTGATCTATTCCTGCTGCAAAAGGAAAAGGCTAGTCTCCCCCATCCATGGAAGAAGACCAGTGTTAACTGTATGTCTTTCCCTCTCTGTTCTGATTGTATTAAATATCCTTTTATTGGCTGTACCCATCACTGCATTTCCAGATTTATGGTCTAACTTACAGTTGGAGAACTACTTTTAACCAAACAAATGAGTTCCATTTTGGAGAAACTTTTGGGACTGTATCCTGACTGTTGGAGGGCTGAAGGCAAACATGCAGAAAGAAGTCAAAGACTGAGAACACACACACCCTGAATATTTATCTTATAGTGTTTAACCCAGAAGTGTTTCAATCTTTTAATATTGGGTGGGGGGATTGCATAAAAAATGGGAAGCGACCAAGCAATCACTGGGTAAAGGAAAGAGGGTGGGGTCTGAGGAGGGGCATGGTGATTTGGCAAAATCTGGAAGGCTGGATTTGAATTTCAGGCAGACTGGATTTAGTCCTCAAGCTTGAGGTTCTGCATGCCTAGTGTAAGGTCTACAGCTGTGAGAATGCATTCACTGAACCCAACACTGAGTGCCTTAATATCTTAGACTTGCATCCCCTGGTTGAGCCTGATGTACTGTAGTTATTTTTATGAAAGCATATTCGTTCATTTATTTATTTAAAAAAATGAAAAGGTGTTTGCTCAGAGGTTTGGGACGTTCTATCCTTCTTAATTTAAAATTCCATTGATAGGGAGACTTAATTCTATCTGGCTTTTTCAGAACAGGGTATTAGTGAAGAGATTGGGTTTAGTGCCTGTTGTGCCTTAGCAGTTCTTGTATATTCAAACAGATCTAGGGGCTGGGGAAACTGGGAACTCCTTTATCAGTGAGTTAGCAATCTCAGCTTTTAGTTTTAGCTTGTTGGGATCTATCTGTGGTGCTGAACTTCTTTGCAAAAATAATTTCATCCCTATGGATATCTCAGAATAAAAGCTGCAATGGATAAGGATGCCCACTAATATAGGTTTTCACCCACCTCCCATGCCTGGGGGCATTCCTGTTCTGAGTAGGATAAGAAGGAGGTGGTATTTATTTATTTATTTAGAAGGCTTCTATGCCGCCCCATTCGCCGAAGCCTCGGGGCGACTCACAATAATAAATAAATAAGCACAGTATAAAACAATATAATATAATTTGAGTCGACCTGGCCCGAAACTTGGTAAGAGTGGGCTCTGTAGTCCCTTTAAGCATATTTTCCCAAGGAGCTTTTTATTATTTTCAGTGAGGGTGCTATGCACTGGCATTTGATCCTGAGAAGGTTTTTCTCATTTATATTCGTGACAGAAGATATCTGAGTGAAAATAAGGAGAATCTATCATCATTTGGATACAATTATGCTCATACTTGAAAATCACAGCATACCAGTTCACAGGGAACGGGTATTTTATCACAGGTTTCTAAAAATCAATAATTTTGACATACTTCTTGTTCTGTGTAGACTCTGGGCCAGTTGTGCACCCGTCGGCCTTTATGCTGCTTCACAGGTGCCTTTCTTTGCAAGGGAAACAGTATACAGTGTCAATAGGCAAACTCTTTTACATATTCAAAGTGAGCAAATAGAATTATATTTAGACCTCTTCATCCTGCTATGAGGCTGCATAAATGTTTCACCATTGCTCTCTGGATCTATATTGTTTGTTGGAGTGTTGCTATTTTATAGCTTTCTCTCTAGCATTAAATGCTTTAAACCATTAAATGGTTTTTGTTCTTTTCCCCTTTAAATTCCTTTTCAGTTATTTTTTTTTCTTTTTAAGATCCAAAATCTGTCAACCAATAACTTAATAGAAGAATGACCATATCTCTCACTTCTGTCCACGATTACTGAAACTGGCCTTGTATGAGAGTGAGGGAAGGGAAAATCTGTTTTATGAAGTTTTTAAAGGGGAAAGAATTATTTATGTACTGGGTAAGAAACGGCAGAATATTACTATACACTTGAAACTATGGCAAATTAGAGACCTGCTGATGTTTCAGGGCAAAAGGAGAAACAAGATTGCTTTGTGTATAGGGAGCAGGTTTGTACATAATAAACTCAGTTTACTAAGATAAGATATGGTCATCCAAACGAGTCCTGTAAGTACTTTGGAGCTTCAAAACGTTGCAAAAATATCATATCACTACTATTGTCAGTACATTCTAATATTGCATGGCTAATTTAATGATAATGTGAAGCATTTAAGTAGAAGCAACTCTTTGCTGGGTATTGTGGCATTGGCACATCATTTCCTTAGCAAAAGACTATGCAAGCCTATCTTATATATTGGATATTTCTACAGTGTATTTGAAGCTTACTGACATTTGAATGGTTCCCCTCAACCCCCATCTGTTTCACAGGCCCATCTCGTAGCAGCATTTGAAAAGAGCTTAGGAAATATGACTGGCCGGTTGCAAAGCCTAACAATGACAGCCGAACAAAAGGTATGTTGAAACAGCAGATGCTTTAATGTGGGAAATGGTCATTGGCTTATATTAAAGTTTTATTGAAGGCTGAATGAAAGGACAGTGTAAGTATAAACAGATGGTGCATCTTTCCTTCATGACCCTTACTATCAAACCTTCATAAAAAGTTCAAGAAGAATAACATTGTGCTGCATCAGGTTTAGCTTAGCTATATCAGAGGGCAGTGTGAAGATAAAATCTTTCATTTCCAGGTTTTAATTAAAACATTTGTGGCTCTGGATTTAATCTGTATTGAAAGATTCAGTAACAAAAGCTGGTCATAAACCAACTCAGAAGGTTTCTTCCAGTCTGGCAGCATTGTCAGAATACTTAATGTTAGACAAAAAAAGAAAGTATTTATCTAGGCAGGTGGTGGAAGGTGGACTCGGTTTGGACTTCGCTACCCAGAAAATTTTAACACCTGACTTGCAAACTTGCAACATGATGACAACAAAAGCCAAGATGCTGAGCTAAAATTAACATGTGAAACATTGTATGTGGTGGCCATGTTGTAGAGTAGTTTTGAAAAATATGAACAGTAGTATGGCAAATATAATGCTGACCATCACTTAGCCATGGCTAAGAATTGGGCCACAGTGCAGGTTCACAATTCCCTTCTTCTGCCAAACAACAATATTTGCTCCTCTCTTCTCTTTTGCTTTAGTGTTAATATCTATGGAACACGTTCCTCAGGCAATAGGCTTATAAATGTAAAATAAATAAATAAAATCTAGTGATTAAGGAACTCCTCTTGCTTCAAATCTGAATCAGCTTGGCATTTACAGTTTTGTTTCTGAGGACTCACAGATTTTGTGAGGGCCTCCCTCGTAGCTCATAATATCGGCATGACATTGCTTCTTTCTTTCTTTCAGTTTTGCTTTTATTGTTGACAAAATGCCAACATGCCTATTCTTCAGTGGATGTTTAATAAGGGTGTGTATTCATTTTAATATTCAATGAAGAACTAAATAAATAAACTCCCATTCATTCAGTATGTTTTTTTTAATAGTAAATCAATGTACATGTGAGTACATTAAAACATTAATTCACCTCCACATTCCAGAGTTTCCAGTGCATTCAGAATTGCTGCTCTTGTGCCGCTTAATAGCATGGAAACTGCTGGGCAACATATGAACATAGGAGGGGCTTCCAGGGGCTTGGTAGGCTACAGACACTCCAAGGGATGCCCACAAATGCTCTGAAAGGCTAGTAGAATGCCTGAATGGAAACCAGCAGAATTACAAGTAACAGAAAGCTGACTATGTCTTCCATTCAAATCAACCAATAAAGGAACTTAGTTCAGACAAATGAATGACAAAATAAATGAGCCTTTAATCACAAAACAAATTAAAATACACACAAATCCTTGCACCCTCTTGTTTTTAATGATATTTGTACATAGCTGATAAGTCACTGAGAATGGGGTTTATTATTTCTTCTACTGTTGGGTAAGCAAAATACAATTTGCAATGTTTCAGCCACAATTTCTCAAAGAACTTACAAGAGCAACATTAACCTGAGTAAGCTTTCCCATATGTTTGAACACACACTTTTCTCCTGCCTGTTTCTTGCTGCAGCTAAGGTTAAATTCCTTCAACAGCTTCAATCCCCATTATAGCAAATGAAGGAAAAAGAAGCTGGAATCCTAAAAGCAGTTTCAATCAAAACTGTGTATTATAATTATTTACTCCTACCAAAGATGAGTTTTGTCAGTGCATCTCATGTGAAGTAGATTATATGTTTTAATAAATGTTTATATTTTCCCCCTGTAAAACACTAGTTTTATTTTGTAGCCTTTTAGAGGTTAACACTTTCCAGACTGAGGATTTTGGCACACTGAGATGAGAAGCCTATTTTTCTCCTTACTTTGTTTCACACTAACATCTTGTAAAGCTTTACCCCAGGGGACAGGGAAACTCCTGCTTACTCTGAAACGTTTTGAAGTTCTTCCTGCTGTTCCCAAAGGAATCAGAACTCATAGAACTCCGGGAAACCATTGAAATGCTGAAAGCCCAGAACTCCGCTGCACAGGCTGCTATTCAAGGAGCTTTGAATGGTCCAGACCACACTCAGAAAGGTATGGTGTTTCCTTTTTGTTTTGATATTCACTGTTGCATGAGAACTAGTTTTCTCCCCAGAGAAGTCGTACATGTCTGGCTTTTGTTGTTCAGAGAAATATCATCTGTGTCACATCTCGATGTATTCTTCACTGCATCTTCATCACAGTGGTGGTGACTCCACAGCAAGAATGTCCCTGTGAATTATATACAGCAGGCAACTTGAAGGGGTTAGGATTGCTCTCTTATTCACTGCCTTAAAGCTAGATACACCTTTTTGTGCCCTTTTGTATATATGGTTTATCAATGGTCATGTTCTTGTTATAACTTGGTGGTTTTGAGCCGCAGTAATTCACTTACAGTGCAATTCATTGAGGATGCTCATAGGCCTCTGAATCTGGAGGATTATAGGTATTCTATGTGGGTCAGGAAGAGTGCAGTCCACATAGCACCCTCCATGTTGGCTGTAAGGAGGGAATAGCTCAGAGTCTCAGCCCAGATGTCAGAATGTTGTAGCTGGGCCTCCAAATAACCCCGTGGCCACCTAGATGATTTTTAAAGGCCATAGCTTTGAGTTGTTATGTTTTAGATATAGTAAGTGGAATATAATTCAATGAAATGAAATGAATGAAATGAATTGATTCCAGTAAAGGAATTGAACATGTATTGAATTTGCTTCAGCTGAAATCAATAGAATTTAGAATGAACGAATGAATGAATAAATGTGGCTTTTTTAAAATGTAAAGGTAAATATTAAGGTTCTGGCTTCTTTGTTGCAGCACTAACTCCTCATTTCTGCAGCTCCACACACTGTTCCCCAATCTCCATGAGCTGTTTATACAGGGATGAGGGGGACTGCAAAAGAGAGGAAAAACAGGTCAAGCATTGTTCTATATTCATGAGCTCTGTGCTATTCATGGAAAGAAGGTTAGGACCCAAGCCAGTGTATGATAAAGGTCAAGAAACATACTAGGTCACTGTTCATGGTGTTCTAGCTCTGTCATGAGTGTTTCCAATGGCTGTGTTTTCATAGTAACATTTCTTAGGCTTGCCCAGACTTCTCTGATTTTGCAGGTCGGCTGTGTTGTTTCAACTGCTGGTTCTAATATCCAGATGTCCAGGGTGTGCACTTCATCTCATGGTTGGTCTTCTCTTTCCAGTCCACATGATAGACCGAATGCCTGGCTTTTAAACTGAGTGCAGCTGCAGGAGAACAAGATGCATACATCACTTTTACAAAAAGCAGTTCCTTTGAGTTTCTCTTGGCAGTCCATTTGAGTTTTCCATATCACTGAAATTTAACATTTATAAAAATGTATAAGAAAGATACTTCCACAGTTATTTCCTTGCATTATAGATTTGCGAATCAGGCGGCAACATTCCTCAGAAAGTGTTTCTAGCATCAACAGTGGGACCAGCCATTCAAGCATGGGCAGTGGTAATGATGCTGAGGCCAAGAAAAAGAAAAAGAAAAACTGGGTAAGTGATCTACAAATTTAAATGTATTAATTGATTATCCTTTTGTATTGATACATTTTCATAAATAACATAATGGCGCATATAAATAAGCCATTCAGTGCCCTTCTCTGTATGTAACTTTGAATAGTGCTATGGCTAGATAGATTAGTTTTGGTTGCTAATATTGGTAAACCAAATATACTTGAATATAGTATGCACACTAGAAACTTTTTCTGTTTTTTCAGTTCACTCAATAAAATGAGCTAACTGTCTGGAATACTTCAGTAGATCAGGAAGAAAATCTGATGGAAATGTTTTAATGATAGATAAAGATAACATCTTTAAATTGAGAAGAGCATACACTTATCACAAGTACTTCAGATTTGACTGAAATAATGGGAGGATTTACTTTTGTTGTTTAAAATATGTTTATTACACAGGTAATATTTTAAAAATACTGATTCCAACTTCATTCCCTTGATTTGTAATTGCACACTCTTTCATGTTTCTGCAAGGTGAACTCTAGAGGAAGTGAGGTGAATATAAACCCCTGGAAAATTTGGCATGCATCTCAAAGAACTCTATCTTGGCATGATTGCTATTCATTTTGGCAGTAGGCTTTTGTACCCTTCTAAAACAGATCATTCTTTATGTCTCCTAAGTTTTTTTCTCTATTAATTTTACCTCCAACTTTGAAATCTAGAAAGGGGGAGTGTTGCCAAAATCCATTTCTTTCTTATTAAAAATCATAAACTAGAAAGAACATAAATTATGGTAATCTAATCAGTGCTTACACTCCCAGCTCTTGAAATGACGTCCATTGAAGAAAGTTCTCCAACATTTATTAGAAGAATCAATTGGGTCATCAAAACATCTATTTGTGTGGTTGGGCTAAAAGGGAGGGAAACATACCTTCTTCCTTTGTATGAGTAACTTGTGTGTTCATAAGAAGCTTCTGATCACTCAAAAAGAAGGGCATAATGCTCACTGCAAACATAACGTTTGCCATTTCAACTCTTGAAATAAATGGCTCTTTGGCTATTCTGTCCCTTTCAATAATGGATAAGAGCTTGTAGAGCAAAAAGGCAATGCTTGCATATATGAACTTGCTTCTTTAAAACAGAACTTTAGCAAATACCTCCTCTTTCCCAACCCTTTCAGCTTGTTGTCAATAAAAGGCAAGTATCATATCACAGCTTAAATATGCTTATTTCTGATCCATGCCACTTTAGAAATAATAGGATCAAACCTTTAAAGGAAAGACAATTCTACATAAGCAATACAGAAAATCATATTAATTGGAATGCAGCGTAAAATGTAATCATTTAAAACAATGTGGCTATTTAAGACCAGTCACCTTAAAAGGAATGCCAGAGGAATGGGATTCCACTGGAGGTGTAGGGTTTTAAATGAGCATCTGTTTAGCTGTAGCACTTGATCTTTCACCTTTTCCCTAGCATTGTGCTACATTGACTTTGAAAAGCCCTATATTGTATTCTTAGAATTACTGTGTTGCACATCTTAAAATGCTGCTTTATCTATATACTTACCTCAGGCAGCGGCTAGATTGGCATCTGCAAACTAACTTTTCAGCAAAAGATAAAGTAAGCCAAATCTTCAGAGATAATTCAAATACATTTAATCTCTTTTCTTTTCTCCTAGCTAAGGAGTTCATTCAAACAGGCCTTTGGGAAGAAGAAGTCTACAAAGCCACCTTCCTCACATTCTGACATCGAAGAAGTTACAGATTCATCTCTTCCATCCTCACCCAAGTTACCCCACAGCTCTGGAGATTGTGGGTCTTCATCAATAAAACCATCCCAATCAGCATCCGCGTATGTTTTCCTCTTTTACACATATCTTCCTTATAGCATATTGATTTTTTAAAGGAGCCATTTCTGATTTTGTGATGGGTCATTTAAAAATATTATCTCTACCTTTCAACTTTTGTTTCTAGTAATCTCTCTCTCTCTCTCTCTCTCTCTCAATTCAGACATCTTAATTTGCTATTAAACATTTGTTATATAGAAATCCTTTGCCCAAGAATATTCTTACTGCACTGGGGTAACTCTTGCTCCTTTCACCTACTGTCACTGCTTTCTGCACTTCATTATGACATGAAAAATATTGACCTAGCGCTCTTGCCTCTCCTGTTTTGGTGAGACAGTACCCAATGGGGTATTCCATAAATGGTAGTCTCTGCTAATTTAGTGCTGACTGGGGTCACCTGAAAGGAGTGGAAACACTTGTTACTAGAAGAAGGAAAGCTAGCAAGCTCCTTTAGGTGAGCTCAGTCAACCAGTCTGCTTTTGTAAATAAACTTTTCCACTAATTTGGGGGCTTCCTCTGCAAAGCACTAAACCTGCTTTATGTAAGTGGTGGTTCCCATTTGTGCAATTGGAGGCCCACTGGTTGCAGATAGGAATTGATAGGGGTATAAGCTTCCCACTGGATACTGTCCAATGTTCTCAGCTGTTTCCCATCACTCACTTGTCCTGTCCTCAAACCTTTTCTACATTCTTCTTCTACCAAAACCAGCAAAGCACTTACAGACCATTGAATGCATTGAAACATACACTTTCATTCACTGCATTAAGTGTTATCCTTACTTGGTGTGTGCATGTGCATACACATATATGCATGCACATGCATGCACACACCTGTACAAACAGAAGAAGCAAAACAAAATTCTATTTCCCATTAACAGAATGTGCATACAAGATCTAGTCAACAGGGTCAGAGATAGTGACCCACCTCCAGTTGAAATGGATAGGCAAGATAAGATAAGATAAGATTATTATTATTATTATTATTATTATTATTATTATTATTATTATTATAACATTTCTGAATAGGTCTTTTCTCCATACTATTTCATTTTACTGCCAGAGAATTCACATAGTCACTCTTGTTAGACACCTGCAATTCCAATTAGATAGATCGTTTGATCATCAGAACATATCCTAAACATACTAGCAGAAGTGTTTGCAACTTGCAGAGCATTCTGTGGCCCCACAGTTCAGTAAATAGCAACGTTAAGAACCGTTTTTCCTGGTAAAATGTAGTGATATCTTAAAACGGTTTGTTTATTTTGCCTTCCACTTCTGAAGTTAAGCCGTCTAAAAGCTGCACTCAAGGCCCTTCTGGTGGTATAGATGTTGCAGGATTCAAAAGCTTTAACATTTGGGTATGTACTGAGGGGCAGGACAGAGAATCTAAGGTCTATATTCTTTGTCACATCATAAAACATTTTGCACATTCAGAGCCAGGATCTCGGGGAAAAAAACCTTAGCTTAGCTTTCTCTTTCAATTCACTATATCTGAATTCATCACCTTCAATAATGCAAGGCTGAGAACTTCATAATGCTTTCAATTTCTGAACAGGTGGTCTGAAGGTATAATTCATGAATGAACAAATATCAATCGATCAATCTTGATTATGCAGTCACAGACCTGCTAAGAATGAACAAATATTTAGATTTGGTCTGTCTCTGTTTAAATCTATGCATAATTGCATCCACCAACAATACTGTATCTTGTAGTATATAAAATACATAGGGATAGACATTGAAAAAACCTATTGTAATGGACATATTTAAATTTTATGTATATCTTATATAATTTTATACAATAAAATTAGTGAAAAGAAATAACTGAATGTGCACAATGTTTTTGGCATGATTTTCCATGCAACTTTAAACCATAATCCTGTATACATGTATCTGCATGTAAGTCCAATTGAATTCAGGAAGGCTCACAGGATTGTACTCCCCATCTTTTACCTGTACTCTGATTTTAATGTCCATACATTCTACAGGATGATGATTGGGGTAAAATAAAATCTATCTAGGGCTGAGAGTGTTTTCCTTCTTTGGTTTATCATTCCATTTCCCTCCAAAGCCATTCATACTTTCATTCTACTGCATAGATGCTTTTAAAAATTTGTTTCTTCCTTGGACCTGAATCTCATTTTCTAAACCATATCCTTTACTTTCTTTCACTTGCATCTGTCTGTCTACTGCGTGTACATGCAGGTCATCTTTAATCTGGGCTCCAAAGAAAAGGCAAAACGGCCACGTGATCTACAAGCATAGATCCCGGTAAAATGGCATGTGGGGAATCACATATCCAAGAATTAGAATGCAGGGGTCCATTTCCCCCAAAAAACATTTCTAGTAATTCCTTGAAGAAAACTGTGGCAGTTTCAAGTTTGTATTTTAAGAATAGAAGTAGAGTAACGTCAGTTATATAAAGTGGATGGATATTTTTCTGAATTGGTATAGCAATGATAAAATGGTCGTTATTCCATGCATCTCAAAAAATAAAAAATTCAATATTAAAAACTGTGTTCCTTTAAGTCGCATTCTCAGAATTTCTGAGAATGATCAGGCATCTACAGCAAGGGTGTCTCAATATCCTCTACACAGATATTTCCCAACTGATGGAAACACTCTTCACTTGGAACAGAGTATCAAAGTTGTTGGTTATGGCTATGCCCTCTTTTCTCACAGGTGACAAGGGACCATATTTTTAAGCATTTGCAAACCATTCCAAGAGCAATGTGCAAGAGAACAGTATATAAAATATTTAATAATTAATAAAGGAAGAGTAGAGTGCAGAATTCCAGTGTCCACATTGAACCAAGCTACCACCTCTATAAATATAGGTTAATTTACATATTCATTTATCTGCTAAAATCCTCTAAACCAATTATGCTCACAAATTGTGATCTGCTCTAAGCTACACATTTTCCCCCATGTGGAAACTGCAGAGAACACAGCCTTGCAGCTTACTGTGTAGCCACACAAGAACTAGGACTTCTGCCCACACAGTGTATGGAGATCTTATGATAATGTGTGGATTATCTTTGCAAGAGTAAAGACCATTCCTGGTACCTGCTTCTGCTGCTGGAGATCTCTCTTCATACAGTTGGTCCATGTTCGGATTTCCCTTTTTTCTTTATGGCCTTTGCAGGGCCTAACTCAGACAGACGTATCCTGCAGTAATTTCCACATGCTACCATAACAAAGAAGCCCTGGCATTGGTTTCATACCATCATATCTATCACTCAACAAATAGAACATCATCTCTTTATCATCTGCATAATTGAAATTGCAATCATCTACTAAATACCACAGCCATAGCATTCATAATACCAGACATCAACTTAAACACCATAATATTTCAATGGAAACAATTCACATATTCAGGTCCAAGTCAGGTGTGGAGTAATCGAGAAAGACACTCATAGCCAAAAGGTACACACTGTATTTTGCGTTATACTTTACTGAGAATATTGGCAGAGCTAAGGTAGCTTTTGCAAGCACAATAGTTTATTTTTAATTGTTAGTTTGGAAAATTGGGAACTTTTGGTTAAAGTAATGAACTGTTTAACTCAGCTAGGACTGTTTTGTAAAACACAGCCTTCTTGTGCTTTGGAGGGAGGAGGGAACAACCATACACAAGAATTTGGCTTCTAGTACATAATGAATGTAGAACTAAATAGGAAAGTTATGAGAGAAGGCTTATAGTTTTATCTAGCTATTTTATTCCTTTTTCATGTTTTTAAACTGAACCCATTCATGTTGCTTTGATGAAATTCTACCTCCTGTTCCTAGGAGTCACCATCAGCAACCTTTTTCCTATTCTTTCATACAGAATAGTAGCACGCTGCCTTTAGAAGAGAACATTCCTTTAATCTTCTGCCTCTTTACCTTTACCTTTTACTTTTTTTCTTTTTCTTTTGGTTAGGATCTGCGAATGCACAGAGGCAGAAGCTGAAATAATTCTGCAGCTGAAAAATGAACTCAGGGAGAAAGAACTCAAGTTAACGGACATTCGTCTTGAGGCCCTCAGCTCAGCACACCATCTTGACCAGATTCGGGAAGCCATGAATCGCATGCAGGTCAGCTCAGTGGACCAAAGAGGGTATCATTACTCACAAAAACCATTTCTTTAATCTCCATGTGATGCTTCTGTTCAAGAATCACTCTGGGCTGAACAAAAGCATAACATGAGGACAGGAGGAAAACGATTTAGCTGAGATTTAATGGGACTGCAAAATAATGTAATAAGCAAGAGAGAGTGAGAGAAAGAGAGAGAGATTTACATCAGTCTGTGTTGTTGTTATGTGCCATCAAATTTTCTCCACCTTATTTATTTATTTATAACATTTTTATGCCGCACCCATTGCAGAAGCCTAGGGGCGGCTTACAAAGAGAATGGCAACCTTATGGCAACCTTATGAATGAAAGTTTTCCAAAATGAATGAAAGTTCTCCTTTCATTAAGGAGTCAATCCATCTCGTATTTGGTGTTTCTTTTCTTCTGCTGCATTCAAGTTTCTCTGGCTTAATCGTCTTCTCCATGGAATTTTGCCTTCCCGTGATGTGTCCAAAGTATGACAGCCTCAGCATGTCAGTTCTGCAAAGTAGTATTTTGCTTAGTGTTCCCATCTCAGTTGTTGGCAGTGATCCCTTTTAATTATCAGTTCCTCTGAAAAATGTTACATGGTCATATACTAGGTAAGGAGGTAGAGACACTTCTGGGGATATGGAAGCAGGCTGGCTACATCAAGAAAAACTACATCAAAAAGCTCAGGACTATTAAAGATCTTCCTGACCTCTAATTCCTACTGTTTCCCATTTCACACCTTACATTGCTTTTTCTAATCGCTAAGCTTCCAAGCTTATGAAGCAGGTCACAGTGTCTAAGCTTGTGAGTGATCATCCCACTACTAATGTGAATTAGCTGGCACAGTCCTTTCAAATTTTGCCACACTGAGTTATGCAAAGGAATCAACTCTGCAATTCTAAAAACATCTATTTTGTGGTAAGTTCCACTGAGTTCAAAAGGGTTTAGTCCTAGCTAAATGTGTATAGGATGGCAGCCTAAGAGTCCAATCACTGCTGTGCTGGACCTGTCCAGTTCAAATTGTTTTACCGTGGCATTCTGTAAAGATTACCTTTTGACTTCCTGATGGTTAAGGAAGGCAAGGGGAGGGGAGTTGTCTCAGTTCAGTAGAGGAGAAGGGAATTTCTTCAGTCAGAAGGGAACTTCACCATCTCTGCCTAGGGAGTGCTCAAGAAGATATAAACTTTGCTTCAGCCGTGGCAAGGAGCCTTTATCAGTCCCACCCCTGCTGTCAAGGAAGGGTTCAGGTTCAGTTGGGATAGAGCCCTCTGTTGCCATTCCATCACCTGGATGTGAAACCTCACCTCTGTTGCTGGGGGCCCAGCTGATGCTAACCCTGGTGCCAGCCCTCTTCCTTATTATATGAAGAACAGCTTGTTGGTATTTGAAATAAAAAGCCATTGCTTCAAAGTTGCTTTGTGGTCACAAAGCAAAGCCTTAAATATGCCCTTATGTTATTTTGGAATTCTAAAACTGCCCTAATCAATTGCTTAGACAAGCAATTCAAACACTCTGGTTTTATTATGTATTGATTAATTAATCTTAAATTCATGTTTCAAGGCACAACTGGTCCCCAGGCAACTCACAGAATTAAAAATAGCATAAAATAATCAAATACCTAATAAACCAAAGTAAGCTGAACTCAATGGGGGAAGGAAAGCATTACATTATCCCCCTCTGCCAACTGGGATCCCACTAATTATCGATACTGCATGTTGTCATGTTTTCATTTTTAAAAGCCTAGCACAATGTTACAAGTAACAACAGGGTTTAAGGTTATCTCTAGTTTGGTTCCTTGTCATTCAGATATTTTGGGGCCTGCAACAACTGCTTTGGTGGACAAAGGAATTTAGTGTGTGTGTGGTATTTATAATCCTGAATAATCACAGAATTCAGGAAATGAAAAGCAGATCTAATATGATAACCACCTGTGACAGATGTCCAAAGGACTGAAGTACCATGTGAAAATGAACTGTTACATCTATAAAGATTAAGGACTGAATCACATGTCTCCCATTTCCCAAAACTTGTTGAAAAGGATGGTGCAATATCTGGCAATTTCAACAGGCACTGTGGTAATCCACAATTTGGCAGTATCAGCTTTCTTCAACTCCTTAATTAGTTTCTTGTTTAACTGAACTTTTGATCTATTTTAGGTGTCATTTTCAATTATTTTCACTGTAACAGCTTTTTATTGATATTGAAAATGGGGATGCTAAATCTATTATAGCATGGTTGCTTATGTTTCTTGAGGCAAATGGAATTTTGCTTTGATCTGAAAATATGCTTCTGGTATTCCTTGCGTCTTCATGTTGTTATTGTTAACTCTCAGAATATTGTAACACCCCTGAGAGTTAACTAGGAATAGAATGTTCCTAGGAATATTGCAATCACAGGGAATCCTGCATGGGAATAGCATGGAACTGTCGGTAATGCTGTGCTTTTCCCTTGTTCTTCCATACTCCACCACTGTTGCTGGTCTTAGGTTTATCGTAGCCTGCAGTGTTAAGAGACTGAGTGGCCGTGAGACCAATGTGAAACAGAGACAATGGCATGTGTGAACATGAACAAACTCACCAACCCCTTCTAAATTGCCCGCTTGGATGCAATGCAACTAGCTTGAGGTTCTATTTTTATCTAGGCTATTTGTCATGGAATCCAAGGAATAGAAGTTTACAGTGTATCATTACTTTTGTGAAAAGGACAAAATGACCAAACAGTTCCAATTGACCTACCAGAATTTGTGTGCACTGTTTTTTCATTTTAATGTAGCTATGAAAACTAATTTAACTTACTTGACTTAACTAGCAAGTGACAAATATTTGTGATACCTATAACATACTTGGTGATATGAAATCCACCCCACCACCCTCTTTTCACTTTTTCTATCGATACCTTGTTGATAACTTGTATTCTCAATGCTAGAATGAAATTGAGATATTGAAAGCTGAAAACGATCGCTTAAAGGCAGAGACAGGGAACACTGGAAAGCCAGGCCGACCATGTTCAGAGTCTTCAAGCAGCACATCTTCCTCTTCTTCACGGCAGTCTTTAGGGCTCTCCTTGAATAACTTGAACATCACTGATTCAGTTACATCAGGTAAAGAAAAGTGATTTGGGTGTTTAGTCTTTAAAAAGTCCTACAACTCCCATTTTCCACAGCTAGCATTGCTGGCTAGGGGATGCTAGGAGTCATATGATTTTTAGCATCTGTCTAACCATGGATAGGATAACTCCCTTTATTTTATCATTTTACCAGGACATTTTGCATGGTTGCATGCTAAAGAATTGAGAAGTCAAATTAATCTTAACTGAAAGCTGTTTACTATATAATGAATCCACAGTTTTGAACATCAGAAGTAAAGTTTTCTGTTTTCTGTGTTTCGAAATAAAATAACACTGAGTTCATGAGCCATAAATATTTGATTGATAACTTTGTCCTGCATTGTTTTGCCAACAAAGTAAAGCACAGCAACTGTTATATTTTAGTCCACAATAACAACAACAACACATGATAACTATTTTCCTGTAATAATCACTGACATCATTTATATGTACAGAAACACATGTAAAGTTGCAAATAAGATCAACTGAATATCTTTTACCAAGTTAAGTATATTTTTACAGGATATTTGCATTTGTTTGTATTATCTTGCTAGATATTTTACTGGAAGATGTTACAGATGGAACTCTCCATAAAGAAGGCCAGAATGTTAAAATTATGGTCATGATAAACAAGGGCTATGGTCGATCCAAGGTACCGTGACTTCCAGCCTTTATTAATGTGTCCATCATTATAAGTATACCGATGCTACTGCTACTACAAAGGCTGTATTATACTGTCCCATAGTATATTCAATTGAAAATGTAACAGTAGACACTGAATGCACCCTAATATTTTTTGCATCTTGTAGCTATATTTGGATCATTCCAGCAATGTCACTAATTGATTATAAAGAGCAAAATGTTCTGCTACCCATTCATGTAGTTCAAATCCCTAGTCAATATTGCATATCCTGGTACTGTTAGGAAATGTGCCTTATCTACCTAACCCTAAAACAAGTTCTGAATGAAGAGAAGGACCCCATTGTAAGCAATGGGCTCTCTTTTTGCATGGATTAGACACAATATATTACCAATTTCAGCCTTTCACAACAAAAGGTTTACACATTCATGTCTTGGTACAGCGATGCTGTAATCTGTTTAAAAGTCTTAATGGCAAGTTAAGCCATTAAGCTTTTCTACTTGAGGCATTTACTGTGTTCCCATCATCTCCTACTCATGGCAGTAGAAAGGTTCTTTAGATGATAGCATGCCTCTCCAGTTTCACTTCTGTTTTTAAAGAGCATTTCAGAAAAGTGTTCAATTTTACCTGTGAAAGCAAAGGAAAATATTCTTTTCTTCTTATGCATTCTGCTATTCCACAAATATGTAGCAGGAAAGACAGAAAGGAAATTCTTTTTTGTATAAAGTTTGGATTGCAGTTCTGTAATGAAATAAAAAGTAGATACCTTGTATAGAAAAACCCTGCATCATTTAAATTTGATATATTTACTATATCTCAAAGCAGTATTATTTCTTCTCTGGGAAAATCCTAAGATAAGTCCAACTAATTAGATAAATGTTAATATTCTGTACATAAAACTATTCAGATAAGTAGTACTGTGACGATGTGAATACTGAAGTCCTTTCACTTCCCCTTTCCCTGCTTTGCTTACCTCCTCCCTTTTCAGGATCAAAAAATGCAGGCATATTTGATAGGATCTATTGGAGTCAGTGGTAAAACAAAATGGGATGTATTGGATGGTGTAATCAGGCGGCTTTTTAAGGTAAGGCTTCATAAGCCAATTCAGGAACATGGACACAATCTCCATTCTATAATATGTACCCAGTGTTTCCTATGATAATTTTCTTATCCTCTGCTTTTCCTAAACAAATTGGTCAGTGATGGGAAATCCTTGTGCCTATTTTCCTTAGGCACAAGGAAAGTGCGGGGAGGTGGGGGCAGAATGCCAGGATGCTCCCGTTCCAATCAGTGTGCTCTGGGAAGCTGTGGAGCCTAGAATGTCATGCTGATTAGAAACAATCAAATTAGTCTTTGTTTTTCACAAGCTATTTGCATTTTCAGTCTTTGGCATTTTAAAGCCTAGTGTGAGGCCATCATCCTGCACCTTGTTTTAGTTTTGTTTATTTGTCTTCGGAATGCAGACAAGGTTGGAATTGACTGTCATTAGAGCTAAGAAAGGAGTGGGACTCCAAGTTAATAAATTAATTTATTAAGCCACAGCTCTTGAGAGTTGTTCTACTTTATTATGTTGGAAGGAATTAAAAAGTTTGAATGCTCTTCCATACATGACAGTTCCCTGCGGGTAGGAAATTAACATGCAAGGAAGTATGGCTTTTGCTTATAGGCTTGTCTGAGGCACACCAGTTTTTCATGTGCCTGAAGCTGTTTTGTTTGATGGGTCATAAAATCACTGCTCTAAATGCAGTGTGAATTAAACAAGCAAGCTGCAGGTTTATCATCTCAGCAATAACTAGTTCAAAATCACACTGTGTCTTAATAAAATGCAAACTCCCTCCAAAGTCAAGTTTAGGCAAACTTTGTTTAAGGATGTCTGACTTGAAACAATTATTTTGCATTGTTAAATTGGCATTTATCACTCCTTAGTCCAGAAGTATTTGTTAGTTTTGCAAGTTTTCTTTCCAGAACCTAAGAAGAATTACTTTACGATTATGGGTTTTATAATAAATGTCAGAACGTCTGGAAATTGCATGAGGCCCAGTGGGAAGTATTATATTTCTCTTTAGGCCAGACAATTCCCACCATAAATTGGTTCCAGACAAATTGTAATATAGATATTGAAGTCAATGTGCACAGCATCAAAATATCTACCTAACTTATGTGGAAAACATCCATGAATCAATAAGTATCTGCAACGGGAGATTTTGAAATTGTGTTGTCATAACATTCTCTCCCCAAGTATGCCTACAGTTTTTCTGTATTCACAGTTTGCCTTGTTCAAGAAAATTAGGAACTACTCCTACCATTAGGTAGGCAGCTGCTTTGGGTATCAAGAAAAAGCAGTGAGTGTTAGCTAGTTATTGTAGCTGCATTTTTACATCTGGGGAAAGGGGCTTGAGGGATTTTCTGTCTGAAAAACCAAAATAACTTTACCAGCCTTGGATGCTATGCAGAATTCTGCCTTTGCAGTGCCCTTGGAGTCATGTGAAGTTGGATTTGTTCCTGACAACCATATACAGCTTGGATTTATGGAAAGGAAATCCTGCTCATGGAGCATTCCAGACATTCTAGAACTCCGATTTATGCATCATCCCAGAATGCCTGAAAAGTGCACGCACATACACTCTCCTTTGCAGCCACCAATCCATAATTTGTTCGGGGTGGAGCCAAATTTGGGGACAAGGATAGAATGCATGAGTGTAAGGGCCTATAGGTAATTCCACTGGGCAATGACAGTTGTGCATACAAACATAGTCAAGTTGTTCCCACCCTGAAGCCTGAGTTCATTTCCAATTATGTAAGCATGTGAACTGGAATGTATTCCGGAGTGAGCATCAAAATGTATTTTCAAGCACACATGCCGTTGACAAGTGTTTTATTTATATTTGCAGAATATGAACTTGGATGTTCAATATGAATCCAAATGCCCCAGTTCAGATCAGCTACAATTTAACATATTCTATGTTCCTCTTTTAATCTGGTCCCCTTTTATTCTTGTATGCTTTATACTTCATATGGTTTATGTTACGATAAATGTCATATTGTTTGTAGATTGTATGAGGTTCAGTGGGAAATATCAGAAATCTTCATGTTGGGAAAATTTTTGACATTTAGACTTAAAGTATATTGAATGTTCTTTGTCCGCAAATGATGGAAATGAGAGTGACATTTGAACAAGTGGGTGCGTAATATTCTATCCTGTTGCTTGTACATAATGGTCAGTGTTTGCATTTGCTTTTTATGTTAGGAATATGTTTTCCGAGTGGATCCAGCTACTAGCCTTGGTTTAGGCTCAGACTGCATAGCCAGCTACTGTATAGGTGATGTTATTCGATCTCATAGCCAAGAAGTGCCTGAATTGCTGCCCTGTGGATATCTGGTTGGAGATAATAACACTATCACTGTGAACCTTAAAGGCAAGACAACACATTTTTTGTTATTCCTTTCATTTTCTCTGCATATTCAAAGCACAAAGTATATCTGCATTTTTGCCCTTCAGCACAGTGTGGGATTGTACAAACACTGTAAAATCTGTTCCATCTACTTTCTCAAAGATTGTCAAGAACTTTTCATTTCATCTTCCACTCAGTGGTAGAACTGGGTTTTGCGCAAATGTGTTTGTATGCATTTGCATAAATTTGCACTTCTGAAAATATGCATATCCCAAACAGATGCAACCCCCAATATATATTTTTATATTTTCACTTTGGAGGGAAATGCACTTTTTGTTGATGGGTTTGTTTTATTTTCTTTATTCTTCGATGACCATATTTGTATACAATTACAGAAATAGGGGGAAATGTTCTGAAAAGAACAACCAGTCTGGTGTAGAGTCAGCAAGTTGAATTCTTAGAAATCCAAACAAATTTAAATCAATTCCAGAGTTTTCCAACTTATCTAGCACAGTGCAATATCTTACTTTTCAAAAATAATACCCTTACATCTGTTTAATGGAACTATCAAGATCATGCTAATAAAAGCACAGGAATAGAACTAATGATGCAAAATAAACATCTAAAATAATTGGATACCGCCACCAAGTCGAATTTCTCAATAGTAGCAGATGATGAATATTAATTAGTTCCAAAGCTTTCATAAAACCATTTAATGTTGAACTTTAAAGGAGCCATCCCATGTCAGGGGAATATGCTTCAATACCATGGATAGCTCACATTAAGTTCAGAGTGAAATCCAGATAAATAAGTACCTTGGCTGACACTCCAGCCTCCAGCCTCCATGGCACATGTTAAATGGCTTATAGTACAAAGGATATGGATGCCTTAGCCATGGCTTTGAAAAGGGGTTTCAGGTGCTTATTTTCTTTCCTAAGACATTCCAAATAACCAGACATCATGCACAGGGGCAGGCAACGTTTTGGGACCATGAGTACATTTTGCAATTTGAAAAAAAAAATGCCCTGATTACTACCACAACATGGTGCATTGCAGAAGGCAGCTGATTGCTATTTTCATTTCTTCATTTCTCTGAGCTCTGAAGGATTCATGGGCAAAGAAGATAAGAGTAGCTAGAAGCCCTCACTTTACTTTGAAGCAATCCCATTTTCCATTTTGAACCTTTGTTACCTGAAATAAAAATTAGAATGAGTTAACACTTGAGCAGGCATGAAAAAAAGGTGTTTGAGAGTGTTCTGGTTCTCACAGTGAAGGTGCCACGTTACCTACACTGAGGAGATGGATGTCATGACTCAAGATAGAAGGATCAGTCTATTTCTGGTCCATGTCAGCTTCAAAGGTAATCATTTATAAGTGAGTGTCACCCCATTTGTAGATAGTTTCATTAATCTGTAAATGTATTAATTAAAAAAATGAAAGTTGTATTATTTGAATGCATTTTTCACAAAATACATTTATAACATATCAACATAAAGACACACACTCTCACACACATTTTGTTGCATTTTTAAGCCAAGAATCAAATAATAAAATTCAGAGAAATACAAAACAAAGTGATAACAGCTTCCAATCCACATAGTAATTCAGGAAATGAGAATCAATTCAGTTTGCTCAAAAGTGCATATTGAACAAAGTATTTCTGCATTCCTGGTGATGACATCAAGGAACTGCATGTAGCAAATCATTTATTCACAGTTGGAAATAATGAAGTTATGCAGACAAGTTAGATACAGTCTTCAAGAATAAGTCTTGTACACTAACTGACAGCCCAACTTCCTGTTTCAATTATATCATTCTTTTCTTAGTATGCAAATTAGAACAAAAGAGAATTTTAATATAAGATAGAGGGTTCAGAAATCTGAATCAGACACTTCAAGTAGGAACTTTAAATGTTTCATATCGCCATGAGGACCTTCTATTTTAAGGGTTTTCAGAAAGACTTTGTGTCATCTGGTGTGATATCTCTTTCCTGCTAACCCTTGCTGCTGTCACATTGACCTTTTTGTTTTAAATGCCTCAGACGTTTTAGATATACATCACTGCTTCACTGAGTTTTCATTTCACATTTGCTTTGATTGCATTGCTCCCATTCATTTAGTCATGTGGTTAAGGTTTTTTAATATTATTATTATCATTATCATTATTTGGCTTTGCAGAAAGGTCTGCGCACTTCCGGCACTTTTTTGAATCTGTATTAGGAAAGTTTACTTGCTGTCAATTTATCAAAAACATGAAGGGGAAAAATTAAGAAGTTCCTTCTCTTAATTAATCTGGATTTAACTAAAAGCACATAATAGCAGAAAAAAATGCTCTATTCCCTCCTCTTATTTTCAGGAGTAGAAGAAAATAGTTTGGACAGCTTTGTGTTTGATACGTTAATCCCCAAACCAATTAGTCAACGGTACTTTAATTTACTGATGGAGCATCACAGAATTATCCTGTCAGGACCCAGTGGCACTGGAAAGACCTATTTAGCCAACAAGCTTGCTGAATATGTGATAACTAAATCTGGCAGGAAAAAAACAGAAGATGCCATTGCTACTTTTACTGTAGATCACAAATCAAGCAAGGTAAGACATAAGAGACTGAGACTTATGAACATACAATATATTTGTTGTTGTTGTTGTCATTGTTAGTCGCAAAGTCGTGTCTGACCCATCATGACCCCATGGACAACATTCCTCCAGGCCTTCCTGTCCTCCACCATCCCCTAGAGTCCACTTAAGCTCACGCTGAGTGCTTCAGTGACTCCATCTAGCTGCCTCATTCTCTGCCGTCCCCTTCTCCTTTTCCCATCTATTGTTCCCAGCATTAGACTCTTCTCAAGGGAGTCCTTTCTTCTCATTAGATGGCCAAAGTATTTGAGTTTCATCTTCAGTATCTGGCCTTCTAAAGAGCAGGCAGGGTTGATCTCCTCTAGGACTGACCAGTTTGATCGCCTTGCGGTCCAAGGGACTCGCAGGAGTCTCCTCCAGCACCACAATTCAAAGGCCTCAATTCTTCGGCGCTCAGCCTTCCTTATGGTCCAACTTTCACAGCCAGACATTGCAACTGGGAAAACCATCACCTTGAATATACGCACTTTTGTTGGCAGGGTGATGTCTCTGCTTTTTAGTATGCTGTCTAGATTGCCATAGCTTTCCTCCCCAGGAGCAAGCATCTTTTAATTTCTTGGCCACAGTCTCCATCTGCGGTGATCTTGGAGCCCAGGAAAATAAAATCTGTTACTACCTCCATTTCTTCCCCTTCTATTTGCCAGGAAGTGATAAGACCAGATAGTTTTCTTAATGTTGAGTTTCAAGCCAACTTTTGCACTCTCCTCCTTCACCCGCATCAAGAGGGTCTTTAGTTCCTCTCCACTTTCTGCCATTTCATAGCAGTGGTATCATCTGCATATCTGAGGTTGTTGATATTTCTCCCAGCAATCTTAATTCCAACTGGTGATTCATCTAGCCCCGCCTTTCTCATGACGTGTTCTGCATATAAGTTAAATAGGCAGGGCGACAGTATATAGCCTTGCCGAACTCCTTTCTCAATTTTGAACCAGTCAGTGGTTCCGTGTCCAGTTCTCACTGTTGCTTCTTGACCCACATATAGGTTTCTCAAGAGACAAATAAGATGGTCCAGTACTCCCATCTCTTTAAGAACTTGCCACAATTTGTTGTGATCCACACAATCAAGGCTTTAGCATAGTCAATGAAGCAGAAGGAGATTTTTTCTGGGGAAACAGCAAATATTGCTTTCTGTATTATAGAGCTATTGCATCTCTGCTTTTTATTTTTTATTTTTTAAACCCAGGCTTATTTAACAGCCATTTGTAGATACTTTCAAATCAAAAATGGGTCTAATCAAGATCATTTACTTATATAAAGTTAAAGCACAAATCTATGCTTTTCTAAGATGAGTCAGAATGATATAGACTAGAAATGAGACTTTTCTCCTATGACACAGTTAGTAGAATTTGCAGAAGCAAGCTTCTTATTCAACCCTCTGTTTATGTGCTTTTTGTTGTACTGCAAGGTTGCAACAGGTTTAACATACAAAAGAAAAATCCTTGCCTTCAAAACATTCTCATATTGTTTATTGGATGCCACATTTTATATACAAGATGCAGATTTGGGAAACAGAACTTTGTTTTGTTTGTTTGTAGAAATTCATATGCTTTTGTATGTTTGTAGAAATTTTTCCACCATAGGTAGATGGAAATAAATTTGTTATCATGCACTCTTTGTTTTTCCTTTTTTCTTTTTACAAAGAGTGCTTCCAGATGAAACTTGCCCTTCCTCATCACCTTGTCTGGATCTTACCAGGGATTCAGGCAATATCTACAACCCATAATCCTGTTTTTCCCACTGCTCCTATCTTTTTTTCTTACCGCAGAAAATCCACTAAGGAGAAGGATGGAATAGCTGCTCAATGCATCCTAATTTGTAACTCTAGGACAGCAACTCATTTCATACCTGGAAGTGCAGCAGCTGGAATGAGACAATTTAGCAAAATTTCATTTCTATATATTTGGTATTATGACTGGAAAAGTTGTTAGAAGGCCCATGTGGTTCCAATGATGAACTCTGAGTCCATCCCTGTGATTTTGCTATCTACTCTCAAGCTTTAGACAAAGAAAATGATTTTTAAAAATCAGATTGAGATCGCCAAAATCATCTAAGTAACACCTAATGTGAACAGAATGTTCATAAAAGTGAGGATGGCAACAGAAAAACATTGCCTTTATTGCCCTACTTTTCTTTTCTTTAAGGATGTGCAACAGTATCTTGCTAATTTGGCTGAGCAGTGCAATGCTGATAACACTAGTGCTGACCTTCCTGTGGTAATAATCCTTGACAACCTCCATCATGTTGGGTCTTTGAGTGATATCTTCAATGGTTTCCTTAATTGTAAATATAATAAATGGTAAGTTTGCTTTTTATCTTGTAAGCCGTCTGTGTAGTAGGCGATAGAATGTAAGGTGAAGTTCTGTGAAGTACTGAACGAACACTGAGTTACCCCCTTGTTACTTCTTCAAGGAACTGATCAGTTAAATATAAAGGCAAAATGTTAACTATAATTGCAAAGGGCAAAATTCTCAACTATTTCTCTGGAAATAAAGACCTTGCCCATGCCCTTACTTAACACAGGATAGACATAGATTATACATCTAATTATGATTATTTCACGTCATTAGCTATGCTGGCTAGGACTAATAGGAATGGTAGGCCAAAACCTTACAAAGGAGCTGCTGGCTACAGGAACACCCAGAGCTATTAGACATTTATTTTGGATAGGTGAAACAAGTGAAGGCCAAGCTTGATAAAGGAGCATCAAGAATGGTGTTGCAGAAAGTTAAATTGGTATAGTTAGAAAGGATGAAGTGATGGTAATTGTAAAAAATAAACTCGAGCAAGCATTTTGTAGATCTGACACAAAAGCACGTAAAAGAATCCCCTTTGAATTATAATTATACACAGTAGGACATTAACAGTAATATGGGGATGTTTTTATGGGAACCTGCTCAGCAATTAAGATCTGATTCAAAGAGTCTTGCTGAGCAGCCCTTGTCTTGGGAGCTGAGGGGAATAGCAACTATAGAGAAGGAGCTTTTTTTCCTGTGGTTGTTTGTGCACCAGCTGTGGAGCACCTTCCCCTAAGGTGTTCACCTTGCACCAACTCTGCAGAGTGTTAGGTACCAGGTTGAAAACTTTTTCTTATTTTCCTGGTTTTTAATAAGCAATGGAGCTGACTTTAGTACAGCTTTTAATGTTATTTCTTATCCTGTGTTTCTAAATTTTCCAGATTTTACTGGGTTAAGCATTAGTCATTTTAGGGCTTTATTATATTTGATATGTGTGTATTTTTGGAAGTCATCCTTCTTTCCTTAATGAGGGCAGGATATAAATGTGTTAATTAATTAACAACTACGTCCATTTTCGTTTAGCCCTTATATAATTGGAACCATGAACCAGGGAGTTTCATCTTCGCCTAACTTAGAATTGCATCAAAACTTCAGGTACATCCTTTTCTGTGTGCTTAAAATGCTAGTTTTAATGCAAGCCTTCAGACTGATTTATTATTATTTTATTTTTAATGATAGTAAGGGAAGAGTTGCAGGTCTGTTGCTCATTAGATTTTTTTCTGGTAGCTATATAGGTGGGATTGGAAAACCAGTATGTGCACAGCTCCCAGATAATGAATGCATGTGCACACACATGTATGCATACACTCATGTATAGTCAGGGGACCACTATCACATCCCCTTGTGAAAGGAAGCCAACCTATCTTTCTTCCACGTGTAACAGGCACTAAGGCGCTACAAACTGAAGTTCATTTTGTCACAGTTGCATATGTGATTTCCACTAGCTTAGGATGCTGAAGTTAAATCATCACTTTAAGTCACTTGTGGCAGGGTTTGAGAGAACAGTTAAAGACCTTTTTATTCACCCATCATTTTAATAATTAAATTAATAATTTTAATAAAAATAATAACCTTTTACACTGCCACATTTTTTCTTCTTTCTCTTTTTCTTCCTTTCTTTAGTTTTGAAGTGTTATTATTGTTAGTTCTGAGTTGTTATTATCAAATGTTTTAATTATATTTTATATTATTAATTAATTTTTGTAAGTTGTCTTATGCAAAGGATGAGGTAAAATGTTTTAAATAAATGCTAAATAATACTACAATTTAATAGAAATGTCTTTATTACTGACTTCAGGCCCTGCCATCCTATGGTTGATCCACCGTCTAGCCCAGGAGCTGGTTTACTGACAGGACCCAATCAAATGCCATAAAGGCACAAATTCACAAAAAAGGCACAATGTTAGCATCTAACCTCTGTTGTCAACCCCTAATACCTGGCAGTCAGTGGTATAGGCAGTGAAGACAAAATGCAGCTAAGCCTTGGAAGGGATTTGCAAGTTATCCATTCCATACAATTACCTGATCTTTTGTTTTTAGCCATGTGTGTTAGTAGTTACTGAATTCCTTTACAGATTTCCATAGGTTACTTACATGGCATTTAAGGATGCACTTCTTTTGTTTTGTCTTAATTTTTCTATCAACTTTAGTGAATGACACAAAATTCTGTATATTGAACCCCTTATGTTGATTGTTCTTTGCCTGTCTAGGTGGGTGCTGTGTGCTAATCACACAGAGCCTATTAAAGGGTTCTTATCCAGGTATTTGAGGAGGAAACTGATTGAGACGGAGATAGAGAGGAATGCCCGCAATAATGACCTCATCAAAATTATTGACTGGATTCCTAAGACGTGGCATCATCTCAACAGCTTCCTAGAAACACACAGTTCATCTGATGTAACCATTGGTAAGGCATTTCTTCAGTAAGTAATATAAACTATGGGTAAAACTGTATCTTAGGCAGGGTATAAATTTAAGAAGAGTAGTTACAGAAACTTAAAAGTTTACTGTGACACTTCCCATGACTATTTCACTAACATTAAAATAATGGGCATCTGATATGGAAATTGTGTTTGTGAACTTGGTTTTCAATTATGCTGCTGTACTGGAAATGTTCCACTGGCAGGGATCACACGACCACAGGGAAAATGAAGTTCTATTGGCTTCTTTCCCCCACCTTCTGAATGAAGATTGCACACTACGCAATTTGCCAAACTGCCCTTGCACTTCATAGCTTCCCATGCATTGTGGAGGGTGGCTTCAAAACTTCTGAAGGACCCTGCAAGCTAGGAGTTCTGGGGAGGTTTCAAAGCCCTCCCACCATACCCCTCACCAGGTTTGGACAACATGGGAACCAGCACACTGTGAGGGTAACTAGGCAAATCACACAATGGGTGATAGCACTAAGAGGATAGAGAAAAGAAGCCACCATGGCTCGTTTTCCCTGATGTACACGTTAACTTGATTATTAGGGTGGCCTAGCTACTGAATTGTTCATGCGGTATATACAGTACAAACTCATTTCTGAATAAGGCAGGTGGAAAGTGATGTAAGTTGAATTTACTGTCCTCTGGATAGGTGAAGAAGTGTGGTAATCCAGGATTTCCTCAACTAGCATGGTCACATTATGACATTAAAGTTGATGTCATTTACCATCATTGTGCCATCATTTGCCATTGTTTTGGTTGATGAGCGGGAAAAGGAGCAATAGTTAGAAGAATGTTCCCATCCATTGAAAAAGGGAAGTGTTTCCCAGCAATTCCACATCCAGCCCCACTTAGCTTCAGAATGTTGAGCAAACTATGTTTTCTTCTTGGACAAATAAATCTACCCATTTCCTATCCATTTGTCAGTACTTTCTGAAGACCTTCCTATAGATTTGTCAGTACTTTCCTATTTCTTATCCATTTTCCGTTCATGGAAAGACCAATAAGTGTGGCTCAACTGGTCTGCAATGATATTCTTCATGCACTGATATGAGGCTGATCCAATGACAGCCAAAAATTTCTCAAAGCAGCTGGCAGCTGCCACAATGTAGGCAAGTGTGTTCTGCATCTTCAAGAAACAGTGTGCCTTTTTTCTGATGAAATGTTTTATTATTTCTTCTAATATAAACAAAAGCCAACTGGAACCTCAGAAGGCATGTGTTTACATAAAAGCAAAACTCACATTTGGTGTCTCATACACATTCCAGAAAATACTGAGAAAGCCTTCCTTCCGTCCTTCCTTCCTTCCTTCTAACTTCATTTTCATCTTCTTAGAACAATGAGCTAAATACAAAAGATGCAAATGTGTATTGTGAAAAAAATACTTGGATATTTTATGGTCCAAACATGAGATGTCAACTATAGGGAAGTTATCAGTTTATGTTTTTAACAAATACCTTCTTTTTCAGGTCCTCGTCTTTTTCTCTCCTGCCCTATAGATGTTGATGGTTCCAGAGTATGGTTCACAGACCTCTGGAATTATTCCTTGATACCCTATATTATGGAAGCCGTGAGAGAAGGACTTCAGGTAGGATTTCAACAAGAAGTTATCAGAATCTCCTGAGAAAAACTTATGTAGGTTTCTTTGTGATTTACAGAGGATGATTTTCAGAATTGTGTGAAAATTTGAGAGGGAGTTTTCTAGCACTTTCCAAAGGACAACATTCCCTTTTTAAAATGCACTCTCTGATGATCTGTAACAAGGGATAAATGTGCCTCAGTGTCTTGTGCCCATTTTTATTCCTTTCTCCACATACTGAACTCACTTGAGGAGACCACGGGCAAGATGCCCTTCATCGGCATGCACAAATGGTCTTGCCCCGAGTGCTTACTGGGAGAGAAGGACTGAGCAGGCAGTCATAGGACAGGTAGCACAGAAGGAAGCATAGTATAGCTGTGGATGCAGGGTGGGGAGGGGGGATTCAATTTTAATCCTCTTTTTAGCCCTGAAAAGATTTTGGGGAGGATTAAAAAGATGGGTGATTTGCATTGCAGTCAGTCAAGTTCTTGTGACAATGCTGGGCAACAAGGAAAAGGAAATCTTAAAAGGCACCAGCTGAGCCCAGATGGATGGATAAAGAATGGTTCCCTCCTTACTTCTTGAGATGAATGAAGATGATTTCTTAGAGTACCAGCAGTCATTTAATTTCCCAGCATAATGTCATTTTGGTGCACAGGTGCATGCAGGCTACTGGGATGTGTTTAAGATGATGAGTCTGTTGCTTTCTTGGTGTACCTGCTCTGTGCTCCTTTCAATGGAAAGGGGGGATTTTGTTTTTCCCCACGCACACAGCTGCATGCAAGATTGACAGTAAAACTGTAGCTATGGAGAAAAGTAATAAATATCTCTTCCTTGGGCTATCCCCAAACAATGACTAGGAGAAATATAGCTAAATCTTTAATGTAACATGTAGTTTGGCTGTTAAATAATATCACCAGCAACTACAACAACCCATAGACAGTAAGATTTGTTCCTCAAAACTCTTGGGGGTCTAGGCCTTTAAAATCCAATTAACACATGACCAAACCATATATTGTGCTGAATGCATTATTGCATTCAATAGGACTGTTTCATTAAATCAAAATGACTGTACCCAGACAAAAATTGCAACATTCACCCTACCACTCCACTCCACTGCTATATGCATTGAGAGGAAATTTTCAACTGATGCCAATGGAACATTTCCTCCTAATGCAAATAGCAGTTTCCAGTACTCATTCTACAGAATTCTCAGTCTACAAAGCAATGCAGGCATCTTGGTTTGGTGGGCAGATAGTGAGGGTGGGATTACCTGATGTTCATAACCTTCTAACTTCTAACATTTTACCTCCCTAGAAAGTTTAAGGACTGTATAATGTCATAACACAGTTCTGAATTATATTTTGGTTTTCCCACACATTTAAAATGGTTCTTGAAATGGTGCTACATCATAATCTAGGTCATTCTGACACCCAGGCAATATAAAAATGGCGGGCAACAACAAGGAGCCAGGGATAATGCTGGTGAGTGTCTATCTCCTGAAAAGCCAAATAGGAAGATGGCTCCCAACTCCTTTTGTTGTTGAACATTGCCTCTTCCACCCATTGTTTCACTAGAAATTCTTCAAGTGAATGAAACAAGCCATTCATTCTTTCATTTTGGGGTAAATTGTAGATGTATGGAAAACGAGCACCTTGGGAAGATCCCTCAAAGTGGATAGCTGATACTTGCCCATGGAGTTCACTGCAGCATGATTGGTCATCATTACTTCAGCTAAGACCTGAAGATGTTGGCTATGAAGGTTATGCATCTGCCAAAGAAGGAACCACTTCAAAGCACATTCCACAGACAGAGTCAGAAGGAGATCCTTTGGTAAAATGAAAGCATCTTATCCTTCTTCATATACTTACCTGTATGCTTTTCATCCTGAGCAAGTAGTATGTACAGCGGCCAAAGTTCTGGCTGGTTATTTTGACTCAATTCACTTTCTTGCTTTCCAACCAATACCATAACACCCTTTGTATCCCTAGATTAGGAGATATTATTCTTTCTACCTTCCCATTTTGATTCCCTTCTTTCAAACATACTGTTTTCTTTAGTTTCTCTATGCCATCTGCACCACTGCCTTTGGTTTCTTATGATAAGTTCATTACATATCCTGCCCACTTTTCTTGGCACAGTTTTACTTTTTTGGCCAAGCTCCCCCACCCCCATTTATTACAATATGATATACTTGCCTGCAGTGTCTTGAAGGTGGAGGTAAAAGTGTAAAATTATCCCAAGATAACTTGTCCAGAATCATTTAAAGTGCCTGTGTATTTGCTGTTAAGTTTGAGGAAGCCATTCATTCAAGTTTTTATTAGCTATTCTTTGCATGAACAACAAATCATCATGTATACAGGGTAGCCCTTTCTTCAAATAGCCTTGAATTTCTCTCTGGTTACATTTAATTTTAAGCTCCATCCATTTTGTGTACCCAAGATAATATTTGTGTTTGATTCACATATTCCCTTTCCCTGAAATGAAAAAATAATTCTATCAGTAGCTCCTGATTATATAGTCCTTTCTCTTAGTGCAGCTCTGTGTCTTAGCCTGGCATTAATTCCTTGGATATGTAAAATAAATCAAGCTAAGGAGTTATTATTTCAGAATATATGCTACTCCCCAAACATTCAGGGCCATTCTTTAAGCATGCAGGAAGCAGAACACTGATTGGGGTTATGCAAATAGGAGCAGTCTTGGTTCATAATACGAGGGGTCCTCAAGGGCAGAGAACTGCTTCATTCCCTCCCTCTCACTCTGAATGCATCTCTTTCGTTTTCTGTTCATCCTGGTATTTAGCTGTAGTGGGTGCAGAGAGCACTCCATTGACAAGGGAGAAAGAATTCAGGAAGTGTTATGGATGGTGGGCAACAGGTCCAGAAGAATGGAAAAGGACGAGAAAGAGCAAGAAAAAGCTGTGTGTGTGGGCAGGTGGGTGCGGGTGCACACACACATCAGGGAGAGGAACAATGAAAATGCAAAAGGATCTTAGAGATGGAAGGACAGAAGAGATCTTGATAATATTTCAGTAGGGGGGGGAATGGGGAGCTGGATTGAAGACTGGAAGCTAAAGGGACTTGAGGCCTTGCACCTTCTTGGCTGCCACAGTCGCCTATACATTTCATGAGCCTCTGACTAGTAACATAAAAAGACTAGCAACAACATACACCTGGAAGAAGTAAGACAGCCAGCCTATCTAGAATTGCAGATTCTATATGGATGTGGTAGTGCCAAAGCCACCTCGTTTCAGGAAGTCTGAAAAAATCTGAAAAGGTTGTTCTAGGACAAATAAAATGCTTTCTTTTCTTTGCATACTTCTTACCACAGAAACCAGAGCTCTTTGTTTTAAATAATGCTCTTTTAAAATGCTCTCAACGTACCTTGGTTCCCTGGACACCATGGCAAGAGGGAAGCTTTATAAATATCAAGTGTAATTATGGTAATTTTAGGCACTGAACATCTTAGAACTCCCCAGGGCTCTCGATGATAAGTAAGATGTGCTTAAGGGCTCTTCTGGAACCCAGCCTCGTGGCTTTGGTGTGCTATTTTATTTTGCCAAGGTCAGCTCCTGGACAGCAGATGGTGCCTCTTGTATTCAGCACTTGGCAGCAACCCCTTCCACTTCAGCACCCACTCCCCTTTTCTGCAATAGTATGGATGTGCATGCAAACACAATCAAGTTTCTCTTTCTGTCCCAATGCATCCTCATACCAAAACTTCAAGTCTATTTCTTTTATCCTTAGATAAGTGCAGAATTGGGTAAATAGCTGGGCTGCCTCTACTTTATATACTTTTGAATTCCTGTATCTTTGGAGTCTAGTCCCAGTTGCAATGGTTCTCATGCCTTTGGGGACTTCAGGAGTTTACCCTGCCATCTTAGCCAGCACGGATTTTTCAAAGCACCGTGCCATTGTGAAAAAGTGTTAGGACCATCACCCCCCTTTTTTGCCTGTTACACATCTTGGAAACAACAGAGTTGTTGCTGCATGAAAACTTTTATCAATGACAAGCATTTCTGTATTTCTTTCTCAGATGAATATGTTAATGAGGCTGAAAGAAGCCGCCAGTTACTCAAGCGCACAGAGCTGTGACAGCGACACTGCCAGTCATCATGATGATATTCTGGACCCCTCACTTGAATCAACTCTCTAGAGGGAAATAGGCCTGGCTAGAGGATGCTGGTAAACCTACACCTGCTTCAAGTGCTGAAGCAGCAGGTCAGGATAGCCCGGAAGAGAGAGGAAGGGAGAGAGTGTGTTGTGTCATATATAGGCGGTTGACTTAACTCTGACAAGTCAGGGAAGCAAATCTGAGTGGAAAGCTTGAATTAGTTTAATTTCGAGACATTTCAGTATCAGTGGAGCTGAGTGAGACTCCATCAATCAACTGGAAAGGGCCTTTAACAGGGGGGCTGCTAAGCAGATTGCACATGTATTAGCCAAACTGGAATCTCGTTGGGTTTTTCTTTTTTCTTCCTGTCTCAAAAGTTTACAGTGTAGGCCTTTTATTTTACACTTCAATTTTCTCTGAGGTGCTGCATTTGTGGTCTTCTTGATCTTCCTCCTCCTCTAACCTCTGCGGTGCCCCGGGGCACTCATTACAGGACTCCGGTAGTGTTTGATTTGTCCGCTGCTGCCCATTCCAAAAAGAGTTGGAGAAAAAGAGAGAGAGAAAGAAAGAGAGAGAGAGGAAACTCAATAAGCACAAACAGTATTGTGCAATTGCCAGGAAAACGCTACTGTGATGTGCTGGATAAGTGCCAATTTGATACTAAACTGCTCTGTTTGCAGTGATGTGGTCCACCAAGGTTTCTGGGGGGGTTTGTGTAAAAAAAACACATCTGTTTTATATACAAGTTGTTTTTAACCACAAGGGTATTTTTTAAACACCTGCCCACTAATTCTTATCTGACACTGACTAAAGGCTTTTTAGGGCTTTGTTTGTTTTGAACCTTTTCAGGGGTGTGGGGGAAGATAACATTTACTATGGTGCTGTCTCACTGCCTTAAAACCAGTTTCTAGAACAGTTTTACAGTTGGTTTAATTTGTTAAACCATTGATTAGTTACACTGTTTTCTTTCTTCATTTACTAACGAGAGAGCATCAGTGAACACAGTAGCCTCATGTCTGTAGATCATGAATATTATTTTTTGTAATGAAGTGGCTCAATGGGAGAACTCTTGATATAGATATATAGATAGATAGATAGTATTTTTTATCTTGTGTGAATAAATTGCCTACCATCTAAAATATTCAAGTGACCCAGAGACCACTCCCAATTAACTCTAACTGAAAACAAAAGCCCAAGACAGTTCGCTCAGATCCATTTGCTCCTATGGAAAAGAGCTTATCATGAGAGACAGAGTGAGTGAGAGAGAGAGACAGAGAGAGAGAAAGGGAGAGTGAGAGAGAGAGAGAGAGATGCTTGATAAAAGTTATCCAGCAGAGCTGGGTGCACTTGATGCAGCATTAGCACAAATATTTCTTTATTTTTCCCCTCTTCTTTTTTTCCTAGTTTGAAGCATGTTGTTTTAATTGCAATTGTACATGAAGAAATTCAGCATTAAAGAACACTGACACAGTGAAGTCCACTGTGGAAGAGAGAAAAGTTTATACTGTAAACAGGAAGGGGGGTGGTTTTGCACAGTCTACAGGGTGGGTATTGTAAATATTTAAAAAAGCCTTGCACAAATGAAAGCAAACAAACAGCAACAAAATAGGAAATTGTATTTTATCCCATTGGTGTTAAGAGATGTTTCACTTTCTGAGATTATTTGTATGTTCCAAACAGATGCAGAACGCAAACTGTACAATCTGTTTGTTAAACCTGGTGTGTTTGTCCTGTATTTAGAACTGCTATGACTATGCAGGAGCTAGCTGTACTTGAGTGAGCATGTTTCAATTTACATTATGAAGCCAATACATCTTAGGGGGAAACAAAACTCTGTTTATCTTTCCTGGCAGGCTACACCAGACTGAATGAAAACTGATCAGAGTAATGGGATATGCTGGTTCAGATTAACACAAGTGATCCAAGGGCTATGGCATTGTGTAGACATGCACTTGCACACTTAGAGCCACAATCCTAAAACAGTTTGCCTGGAGCATATGCAGTTCACAGCAAGGGGTGTGTGAATGGGGAGGCAGGGGCAAAAGAGCACTTTCAAGTTCCAGTGAGCCAAGTCTTCAGGACTTGTGTCTGGTGCTATGAACTCCTGTGACCATCAAGTGGCCATCTCTTTTATAAAACAAAGGTGAAGTAATCAGTACTGTTCTCTTTGCTGCGCCACTAAAGCTACCAGTCTCCTGCACAATGCTATTGCCCTAATACAGATAACTCTGATTTTATGCACAATGAATGTAGTCAGGCACCAAATACTAAGTTATGTTCTCATAATGTTCAGTGGCATGCCTCTCTCTGGCAAATGATTAAAGCAACAGCTGCTCTTAAAGATATATGTGGTCTGAAACAGCACGCACATTCCTGCCATTTTTGACATACACAGACGCACATACAAACCCTGTATGTATGTATCACATAATACAACTTTCACTGCAATACATCTCAGTGAGTCCACCTAGTTTACAAATTTAAAATTTGCTTGTGAAACATTTGTCTGTATACATTTTATATTTTGTACATTTTTGATGTAACATATCGTGTAAATAGACAGAAACAGTGAGATAAATCATCTGAAAAGTTTTGTAGTCTTTGTAAAGCCCTATTAATAAGTATTTGGTGTCATCAGACTTAACTGAATGATGTATTTTCTATTGATTTATTGTTCTTCTAGCTTGTAAACCAGCTTGCATATATTTTTTGCAGGTGTGCACACTGTATCTGTCTAAATTATTACTTTGCCATTAAAGTGGAATTATTTATTGACAGCTGAGTCTGTTGTCTTTGCACTCAGGAGAACAGACAATTAGATAGTTTTATGGGAAGATGTATCTACTATTTCAGAAGCGGCTTACAAGGACCATGACTTGCATCTTCCTCGGCAAACTTTTCCATGAAAATATCCTGTTGTTGTGTAACTCTGAATTTAAAACATTTTGAGAGAAAAACAAAGGACGTAGAGGAAAAAATGATGCAGTTTGATGTTTGACAGACGATGTCAAAGAAAAGGAGTGTAGCATTATATAAATATTGTGTGTGCTCCAGCCATTTGGACAAATAGCTCATGGTTGTGGAACCTGAAAGGCACACAGCAGATGCACCTGGCCTGCTTCCCATCTTCCAAAGGGCAGCTTGAAAGTCAAAAAGGCTCCCTTAACTACAGGACCATCCACAGGATGCCTCTCCATCCAGGAATACCACTCTGCTGTGCTTGCCAGAGCTTTGCTAGGACAGACCTATTGCACCTCTACGCAGAAGGAATCTGCATGTGAGATCCTGTGTAGGCTTGTGCAGGCAGGTTCTCTGTTGAGAAGCCCTTAGGAGCTTCCCACTGTGGTTCTGGAGTTGATGGTTCATGCGGGTCTGTGATAGAAAGAATTCAGGCAACAAAATGTCCCTATGTCCCTTCCATTCACTCACTTGGAAGCCTGAGCACTTCCATCTATTCATAGACCATACACGTTGAACTGCACCATACTGTTGCAATTCAAGGAGCTCTAACATGTTCCCTGCTTTCTCTCCACTGAGCTATAGACCACCTAGTGAACCTGAACAAATCAAATGCACAAAGAGAGATGCAGAGAAAATCCACATTTAAGGGGGCTGGTGGAAGGAGACTCTGCCCATATCTTGCCAGCCTCTACCCCTAAAAAGAGGTTCCCCAAGAATTTTGGAATACTGCTGACTGGAATTGTATAGAAAGAAGAACTAACTCTGAAAAGCAGGAAGAAGCAACTTTTGCAAAGTGAGCTCTGCTTATGAGTTGATTTCTGTTAATCTTGTAAACTGCCCTTTTCCCCTCATCTCACTATTTCACAGCCCATCCCTTCTAACATATCTCCTAAACTTCAGGGCACACTTGCCAGGAGAAGAATGGGTAGAAAAGTAAGTATCTGCCAGCTCCATTTTGAATATTATTCTCTGAATCCAATCAATGGTCCAAGGAATACAGAGGGTACAAGTGACACACCTAGAAAGCATAGGGGTTGCTTCTAGATCATTCATCACTGGATGCTTAAATGGCCTCAAATGCTAAGAGACCCCCCCCCCGTTTTTTTTTTTTTTACTGATTTTGGCCAGTATGCCAGGTATGACCATTTTCAAAATGGGATAGTTCAGGCACTGGTAATCTCAAGGCTAGATTATTGGAAAGTGTTTTATGTGGTGCTGCCCGTGGTGCTTCAGTTGGTCCAGAAAGCATCTGCAAGGCTGTTGATGGGATGTCCTTTTAACAGCTTATTACTTTGCCAGAAGTAAGAATGTGTTATACTTTTTCCAGCAAGCTACAGGTCATTAAAAGAGCAGGTTAACTTAGGGATCACTTATGTTCCTGGCTGATTTTTGTGATCATCAAAGGAGCAATTTATATGGTGTCACATGGCCCTGAGACGCATCTTAAGCATGATTGTAATAACCATTTAGTATTACAGCACCCATCCTCTAGAATGCACTCCCAACCGGCAGGTGTCTACAGTTTGGACTTTTAGACATCTACTCAATGCCTATCATTCTATATTGAACTTCCCTAATGTATGACCCAATCAGTTTATTTTATTGTGGGTCAACTGAATGACAATGCAATTGTTTCACTGTGTTGAGGTTATTGATACCATTTTAATATTTTTGTTGGGAAGCAGTAGAGACATCGGTGAAATCAAAGTCTGTGGCTGTGCTGGTCAGGGATGGTGAGACTCCAAAACAATCGGAAAGGACATCCTTCCTACCACTGATTTCAACAAAGAAAAGCATCAATAGAAAAATCTTTTACCATTAGAGAAATTATGTACTTTAACAAATAACCCTTTTAATGTTTTTTTTTCAGCGTGCTTATAAGGAATGCGTTTGATTTGAACTCTGCCTAATTGTGCCTTGCAGAGCAGGAGGGACATAAATCTGCAAGAGCTTCTGAATTAAATTTTAAAGGGCATTTCATATAAGTACATAAGCTTCAAACCCATATTTCTTTGAAGTGTGGTAGACAACTATGGTGCCCTGCTGGTGCAATCAGATTATAGCCATGGGTAAATCTAGAT